CGCCCGCCGCGGTGGGCGGGATCGCGGCGGGGGACCCCGTGGCCGCGCCGCCGCCGCCGCCGCCGCCGCCGGGAGAGATGGAGCAAGAGATGGAGATGTGAATGAATAGCGAGAGAGCGTGTAAAAATTGACGCGCGCGCGCCTAGTGCACGACGAACGACTCGATAGCGCGCGGCGACGAGCGCGTCGATTTGATCGATCGCCGGCGGCGCTGGTCGGGTTTCCGTGAATCGTCCGCGAGACGACGAGCGAGCAGTGTCGACACTTGTGTCGATGTCGGCGGCGCTTTCGCAAATAATGTCGCCGCCGCATTTCGCCTCGCGCCGCCGCTCGTCGCACGGCGAGAGCGCGCACACCGCGGCCGCGCTCGAGGTCGCGACCTTCCCTTCGTCGTCGCCGCCTCCCCCCCAAGAAAGTCCCCCCGCGCGCCGCACGCGACGTGAGCAGCCATGCCGTACAAGGGCAACCCCCACCCGAAGAAGGAGAAGCATCGCCCGCTGCAAGACGAGATCGCGGGCGACGCGCTCGCGCAGGGGAAAGGCCGCACGAAGAAGCGCGAGCGGCAGCCCGAGGACGAGTTCATGACCGACGCGATGAGCAACAAGGTCCTACTACAAGCGCGCAAGCAGCTCGAGGAGGTGGAGGACGAGGAGGCGGGCGACCGCCCGGCGCCGACGCCGACGCTCGGGCGCGCGCTGATGCACGCGACGATCCACGAGGAGGACAGCGACGAGGAGGACGACGAGGACGACCCGATGGGCGCGGCGGCGCGCGGGCGGCGCGCGGGCTCCGGGCGCGGGCGCGACCTATTCGGCGGCGGCGGCGGCGACGACGACGACGACGCGGAGAAGCGCGACGACGGCGACGACGACGACGACGACGACGCGAGGGGGGACGACGCGGCGGCGTACGAGGGCGACGTCGAGGTGTCGCCCGAGGACGAAGCCGCGCTCGCGGCGTTCATGGCGCCGAAATCCGGGAAGGAGCGCACGCTCGCGGACATCATCCTGGATAAGATCAAGGAGAAGGAGCGAGGCGGCGGCGGCGGCGGGGATCGAACCGGCGGCGACGACGACGAGATGGACGCCCGGGCCGCGGTCCCCGCGGGGATGGACGAGAAGGTGGTGGACGTGTACCGTCAAGTGGGCGACCTTCTGAAGCGATACACCACGGGGAAGATACCGAAGGCGTTTAAGATCATCCCCGCGCTGTCGAACTGGGAGGAGGTGCTGTACCTGACGTCCCCGGAGAAGTGGTCGCCGCACGCGATGTATCAGGCCACGCGTCTGTTCGCGTCCAACTTGAACGCGAAGATGGCGCAGCGGTTTTACTCGTTGGTGTTGCTCCCGCGCGTGAGAGACGACATCGCGGAACACAAACGCCTGCACTTCGCGCTGTATCAGTCGCTGAAGAAGGCGACGTTCAAGCCCGCGGCGTTTTACAAGGGCATACTGATCCCGCTGTGCGCGTCGAGGACGTGCACGCTGAGAGAGGCGGTGGTGTTGTCGTCCGTCTTGACGCGCGGCGCGATTCCGATGTTGCACTCCGCGGCGGCGCTTCTTAAGCTCGCGGAGATGCAGTACGCGGGCACGACGAGTTTCTTCATTCGCGTGCTGCTGGATAAGAAGTACGCGCTGCCGTTCCGCGTCATCGACGCGCTCGTGGACCACTTCCTCCGGTTCAAGAAAGAGACGCGGCAGCTGCCCGTGGTGTGGCATCAGTCGTTGCTCTGTTTCGTGCAGCGATACAAGAACGAGATACGAGCGGAGGACAAGCTTCTGATTCGCAAGCTCGCGGACCTCCAGCACCACTACCTGATATCTCCGGAGGTGAAGCGCGAGCTGTCGCAAGGCCGGAGCCGCGGGGAGAAGGACCCGGACGCGGAGATGAAAGCCTCGGCGGCGGCGCCGGGCGTCGGCGGCGGCGGCGGAAAGGCGGGCGGCGGCGGCGGCGTCACGTTCGGCGGGTTCGCCCCGGGTCTCCGCGCCAAGGCGGTGACGGAGAACGTGAGGGACATGCCCGCGGTGCCGATGCTCGCGGACGACGCGTATTAGGTATTAGACACGCGCGAACGATGAGGTGACGAGCGGCAGCGACGTAGGAGTACTGTAACCGGGCGCTTCCGAATAATCTCGCGAGTCGTCGTCGCACCGCGCAGTGCTGATGATGCGAAATCTCACCGTTGCTTGAGACCCCTTTCGGGCCGCTTCCAGGACCACAGCGGAGACGCGCGTCGCCGCCGCCGCCGGTCGCCATGGCGGAGGATTCCGGCGCGCTCGTCGCGACGATGTTCTCGTACACGAACAAAACGCTGCTCGGTGCGTCCCGCGGCGGCGCCGTCGTCCCCCTCGCACGCCTCCGCGCCGTCCCCCGCGTTCGAACCAAATCTAAATCTGTCGCCGCGCGAAGCGCCATCGCACATCGCATCATCGTCTTGACCCGTCCGTCCCCGTCTCGCGTCGTCGTCTCATCAGGCAACTGGGCGGAAGACCGCGACCAGGCGCCGTCCACGGACACGACCTCGCGCGTCTGCCCGAGGGACCCGAACGCGTCCGCGCTCTACGCGACGTCCTCCTCCGCCATCGGCGCCGGGGGGCAGATCCCGCGAGGCCCGCGGCGACGCGCGCCGCTCGTCGCGGTGGAAAACTTCGACGCGGAGACGCGGCTGAATCGAACGGGCGCGCGCGACTCGAAGTTCGGGAAGGCGTCCGTCGGCGGCTTCGGCGCGACGCTCCCGACGCACCGCCCGGAGCACTTCGCGACGTACAGAGAGACGACGTACGCGAGGCACTTCGTCGAGGACCCGCGCGCGGCGAGGGCCGAGCCGCCGCCGCCGGAGCAGAGCGACGACGCGCGGTTCGTCGGCGGCTATCCGGCGTGCGTGAACGCCGCGCGGCCGGACGCGAGGCTGCACAGCTCGAGCCGGGCGTTCTTTAACAAGGGGCAGATGCGGAAGGACTTCACGGATCCGACGGTGACGGTGGATTTCCGCGGGAAATCGGGCGCGAGGGGGTTGAGCACGAGGACGCCAGAGGAGGCGGGCGCGAGCGAAAACGACTGCACGTGGGCCGACCTCTACGCGTCGTCGAGGCGGTGAGAGAGAAGAAAATAAATCTCCGCGCGTCGTCGAGTCGAGGTCCAGGCGGCGGCGAGCGTTGTAAAGTAGTTTTGTGACGGACGGACTCCGCCGAGCGCGCGTCGCTTAAAACACCTTCCTTCGCGCGACCCGACAAACCAAACCCCCGCGATACTCGACGGAATCGATCGAATCGTCGTCGCGCATCACCGCGCGAACGGCAGGGACATCGACAACGACGCGAACGGCCCAACCTTCCGCCGCGTCTCGTGCGCCTCCTCCGCGCGGCGGCGCTCCGCGCGCGCTCGCCGCCGCTCGGCGAACGCGGCGATCTCCGGCCGACGCGACGCCAACCTCGACGCCGCCGCGAACGCGCGCTCGACGGCGGTCCCCGCGTTCCGAAGCGACAGCGTCAGAGACGCCGCGGCGCTCCCGCCGCCCTTCCCCTTCTTCTTCCCTTTGCCCTTCTTATCTTTACCGCCCTTCTTCGGCTTCGAATCCGCGGACGCGTACTCGTCGTAATCGTCCTCCTCCTCCGCCTGACGCATCTTCAACTCGATGGCGGCTCTCGCCTCCGCGGCGAGCTTCTCCGGGTCCTCCTCGTCGTCGCCTCTCTTTTCGGCGTTCGACAACGAATCTGGGTCGATCCCTCTCGCCTCGCGCGCCGCCATCTCGCCCTCGTAGTCCATGTTGTAGTACCTCCAAGACCGCTCCCAGATCTCGTTGTGCCGTTGCATCTGCGAGAGCAGACGCGGGTGCTGCTCCTTGAGGTCCTCGTAGCTCGGAGCCTCGTACAGCTCCCCTCTCCACCCCGGCATTTGCCACTCCGTGCCCTCCTGGTACACCACCGGGTCTTGATACGGCGTGAACGCGCGGAGTTGCATCGTGACCTCGCTGTCGGGCTTGTACTTGAACATCCTCGCTCGTTGCGCGACGTCGAGCGCGTTGTTCATGCTGCCGTACGACTGCGTCTCTCCGCAGACGCCGGTGAAGGACCCGAGGAACTGGTCGTCCTTCCATTCGCCCCACTCGATGGCGCCGTTGCCGTAAAACTTCACGCCGCACCCTTGCTGCGCGTTGTCGTCCCACTCGCCGAAGTAGGTGCTGCCGTCGTTTTTCCAGTAGTAGACGCCGTGGCCGTGCATCGCGCCGCGGCGGAAGCCGCCGTCGTATCGGTCGCCGTCTGCGAAGACGAAGCACCCGAGCTTGTCTATCTGGCCCTCTTTCGTGACCATCCCTTCGAATCTGAGCAGGGGGGGGGGAGAGAGAGATCGATGGGGAGGAGGAGGGGTGGAGGGGCGCGGGCGCGGTCAGGATCGAGGAGGGAGGATCGAACGGGATGGAATGAATGTCGAGTGCTGAGTGTGTAAAGTTCCGTGCCGCAATCCGCGCCGGTGCGCTCGCGGCGGCGGCGTCGCGACCGCGCGGACGCCTCGCGCGACGCGTCCGTCGATGCGACGACGGCGCGTGCGCGATGAAACCGCGTCCACGCGAGGGACGCGCGCGTCGACGCCTCGCGCGGCCGCGGTTTCATCGCGCGGTCCTCGGGGTTTCGGTTAGGGTTGCGAGCGAAAAAGCGTAGAATAGATTCGCCGGCGAGCGACGCGCGGAAACGAGCGCGGGACGCACTGTCCGCCATCCCCGAACACGATGGAGTCCCACGTGTAGTTGCGATGGTACGGTCTCGGAACTTTGGAGGGCATCGCGGACGGTCCTACGTCGGGTCACCGCCGTCGGCGCGTGTGATGTGACCTCCGCGCGAGCAGATAAACACAAACTGCAGCTGCTGCGCGAGAAGCGAGATTCCCGCCGATGCGTTCGATGCGTTCAATCGATGCAAACGTTATTCACCCACCCCTCGGTTTCAACATTTGATCGCGTCCCCTTTCAACGGACCGATGAACATAGAACATGTTGTTGGAAGCGCCCTGTCAGGTTGCGTGCACCGCTTAAACAGTCGCGCGTCGTCCGAGCTAAACCGCGCGCACATTTAGCGCGGAGGCCGGATCGACGCGCGCCCGCGCCTCACTCGAGCACGCACACACGCACGATGCTCGCGCTTCGCATCGCGAGGAACCTCTCCAGGTCCGCCCCCGCGGCGGTCAACGCCGGCGTCTCGCGCGCGTTCGCGTCGTCGCGCATCGCCGCGAACGAAGCCGGAGCCGGGGAGGGCGATCCGGTGAAGGATGTGTTCACGCGCGTGCAGCGCGATTTCCGCCGGCTCATGGACGCGACCCCGGGCGTGAAGGTGCCCGTGGGCGGCTCGGAAGAGGAAATCGCGAAGTTCGCGTGGAAGCGCTACGACGCCGCGTACGAGGTGCGCGCTCGCGACGTCGAAACCCGACGCGCGCGCGGTCGCGCGACTCCGGCATTCGCGCGATCGTCCGTCCGTTCGGTTTTCATCGCGCGTCGCTTCCGTCGCCCGCCCTCGTAGGGTTTTTTTTCTTCCCTCCCCTCGCGCGCCTCTCGCTCGCGATCGCGACGAGTCCGAACGCGCCACCGACGCCCCCCTCCCCCCCCCTCCCCCCCGCGCGCCCCATCGCGACGACAGCTCGGGATCCAGTCCCCCGAAGAGCTCGCGGCGGACGTCGCGGAGGCGCTGCGAAAGCCCGGGCAGTCCGCCAAGCAGTACCTCGAGAAAGTCGACGAGCACCGAGAGCGCTTCGGGTTCGAAGACACCGACGGGCTCTCCGCCGCGCTCAAGACCGCGGTCGCGGAGATCGAGAAGAAGACGGGCCAGACGCTCATGGTGGACGACGAGGCGGGCATGGCGAAGCTCGCGGAGACCGTGGCGCCGCTCGTGGAGAACGTCATGAGCGCGGACGAAGACGCGTTGGAGTCAGCGTCCATCGAAGAAGCCGCCGCGGAGGAGCTGGCGGAGCTGGCGGAGCTGAAGAAGTCGATGCGGCCGCCGCAGATCGACGCGAAGACGGGCCAACCGAAAGAGCGCGCGACGACGGAGCAGATCGTCGCGCGGGCGAAGGAGGCGATCGAGAGCGGGAGGTTGAAACCGGCCCAGGCGGAGTCGCTGAGGAAGCTTCTCGCGCAAGGCCAGTGACGGACGCGACCGACGCTGGTCGCGATTCGATTCGATTCTTCTCGATCGATTCGATCGGTCGTTCGGCGAGCGCGCGCCGGCGGCCGTCGGCGCTCCGAGGAGGTGTAACTCTAGCACGTTGTCAACAAACAAAAGTACTTCGACGCGTCCGCCCCGTCCGTCCTCTTTCATCTTTCGCTCGCCCCTCCGCCCTTCCACACGTGTTCCTTGAACATCTTCGCGAGCGTCTCCACCCGCGAGGCCGCCTCCAACAGCGCGTCGCGGCTCATCCTGATCTCCTCCATCGTGTCTATCCCCGCGGGCTCGTACGCGCGCATCACCTCTAAGGGTCGTTCCACACAAAGCGATGTCGGGGTGGAGTTGAAAGGCGTCAGGTGGAGTTGAAAGGCGCCGAGGGCGGGGATTGAAAGCGAGCGGCGGGCGGAGAGAAACGACGGGCAAAGTCCTTAAGGATCGGCGTTCACCACGCGAACGCGGTCGTATGGGGACCAGTGTATAGAACGCGCCCAACTCGTCGGCGCCGACGACGTCCATCGCGACGCTCCTCTCCCTCCGCGCGTCCTCGACGCAACGGAACCGCGTCCGCTCCAGGTGCGTCATGAACACGGACTGGCTCAACCGCACCGCCGGCGCGTCGTCGTCCGGGTCGTCGACGTCCGCGACGCCGTGCTCGAACGCGCGGACGAGCGCGTCGCGGACGTTGCGCACGCGAATGGACGCGGCTTCGTCGCCGCGCATCGCGGCGGCGACCGTCTCGGAGTCGAACGTTCGCAGGAGCTCGTCCGCGAAGAACACCTCCGGCGGGCACGCCCTCCGCCTGTGTTCTCGCATGAGGTACACCGCGAGCTCCTGGAGCATCGCGATCTCCTCCGCGGGGCGTCTCTGCTTGTGCGCGAGGACGGTCAGGTCCACGCACGTCTCGAGAAACTCCGGGGTGAGTCCGTCGCTTCGAACGAACTCGTCCACGAGCGCGGTCGCCGCGGCGCCGTCCTCGCACTTCTTCACCTCGAACGAGAGCTCGTCGAACTGGATGCCCTTCCACGAGCGCTCGCCCGCGACGTTGACCCTCGGCCACTCGCCCTTGGGCTTCACGAACGCGACCGCCGCGCCCGCGGCGGCGGCGCGATCTCTTCCTCGGGACGTCCGACGCGATGCTCGCGCCGACGGCGCCGCGAATTCTCGGGACCCGGGGACGAGCGCGCGCCACGCCACGGATCGCGTCCGCGCGCGGGGGATCGCGCGCGACGCGACGGTCGACGACGACATCGCGTCCGCGTCGTCCGCGCGCCGTGCGGAGTGCGCGGGAGTGTGGGTGGAGCGCGCGCGTGAAGGAGTACATGAATGCGGCTTCGTCAAAAAGCGCACGACGACTTGAGCTACTCGCTATCTTATAACCAATAGCTAGCTAGAAGATCCCTCCCCCCCAACCTCTCTCCGCCGCGCCCGGGTCGGGAAAGTCCCGCGCGCTCACCCCCCGCCTCCTGACCAACCCCTCCCCGCGCCCGATCCTCCGCCTCAGCTCCGCGGTCGTCCCGACCCCGAGCAGCCCGAACGCGCGCTCGAGCTCGTCGCGCAAGATGGTAAACGCCCTGTCCACCCCCGCCTCGCCGCCCGCGCCGAGCCCGTAGAGATACGGCTTCCCCAGCGCCACCGCGTCCGCGCCGAGCGCGAGGCCCTTCAGGACGTCCGTGCCTCTCTGCACGCCGCCGTCGACCACGAGCTCCACGGCGAGCCCGGTCTTCTTCGCGAGCGCGAGCGGCGGCGAGCCGTCGTCGGCGTCTTCGTCCAGCGCGGCGCGCGTCGCCGCCGCCGCCGCGTCGATCGACGCGCCGCGCCGCAGCGCCGCCTCCTCCGCGTCCTTCGCGATCGCCCACTTCCTGACGCCCCCGAGAGCGTCCCTGATGTTCGGCAAGACGTCGATCGCCGCCGGGGACGTCTCGAGCTGCCGACCGCCGTGGTTCGATACCCACACCGCGTCGAATCCGCGTTCCACCGCCAAACGCGCGTCCTCCGGGGTCAACACGCCTTTCAACGCGACCGGGCCTCGATCGCCCCACTCGTTCACGAGCCACTCCGCGTCGTCCCAGTCGAACGACGGATCGAACGCGTCGCGTATGAACGCCACCTGCGCGCGTCGGTCCATGGGAAACGCCTCCTCGTCGTGCGTTTTTCCCGCGGCGAGCGACTCGCGGCGGCGGCGCTCGCGGCCTTCGTTAGGGTCGTTCCATACAAGCGAACGTCAGGGTGGAGTTCAAAGGCGTCAGTTGGCGTTGAAAGGCGTCGAGGGCGGGTATTGAAAGCGAGGGGTGCGCGGAGAGAAACGCCGGGCAAAGTCCTTAAGGATCGGCGTTCACCACGCGAACGCGGTCGTATGGGGACCAGTGTATAGAACGCGCCTTCGGCGGCGAGTTTCACCGCCGCGTACGCGTACTCCTCGTTCGCGAGAAAGTCCCAACTCCACGCGGGCGCGCGGACCGCGTCCGCGATCTGTCTGAGCGTGTACGCGGGCGGGACCGTGAAGCCGTTGCGCACGTCTCGCTCGCGGTTGCCGTACCACGTCAGGTCGACGGTGAGCGCGAGCGCGTCGAACCCGTTGTCCATCGCCTGCCTGAGCATGTCGCGGACGAGCGCGCGGTCTTTCCAGACGTACAGCTGGAAGAGCTTCGGGTGCTTCGGCGGGATCGCGGCCGCGACCTCCGCGGGCGCGGACGTGCCCATGGTGGAGAGGGAGTACATCACGCCGTGCTTCGCCGCGGCTCGCGCGACGCCCTGCTCGCCGTCGGCGTGGAACATCTTGCTTCCCGCCGTCGGCGACACGAAGAACGGGAGCGCGCACTCCGAGCGCATGAACCGCGCGCTCAGGTCGAGCGGCGGCTTGAGGCCGGCGAGGACTCGAGGGTGGAGCTCCAGGGAGCTGTACGCGTCCTTGTTCCGTCGCAGCGTGATCTCGTCGTCCGCGCCGGCGTCGAGGTAATCGAACACCATCCGATGCGCTCTCTGCCGCGCCGCGAGTCGCAGGTCCGCGATGTTCACCGCGCTCTCGAGCCGCCGCGCGCTCGGCGCGTTCAGCATCGGCCGCACGAGCGGGGAGAGCCACTTCAGGACGTTGTGCACGCCCATCGCGTGCGGGTTGAACGGCATCGCGGCGCGCGCGGCGCCGCGCGTCGACGAAGTGCGATCGATCGATCCTCGGAGACGACGCTACGACGAGAGGGAGGTCGCAGTGAGGACTCGTGAAAAATTGTCGTTCTCTCGTAACACGTCGCTCGCTAGCTCGTCGTGCTCTCACGTCGTGCTCTCACGTCGCATCGCGTCTCGTCGCGCGCACGGTGTCGGCCTATCTCGCCGGCGCCGGCTTCTTCTCCCCCTCCTTCTCCACCGGGTCTTCGAACAGACGCGCGGACCCGTACCCCGGCTCTCCCTCTCTCACCTTCTCCAGGATGTTCTTCTCAAACTTGCCCGCGTTGGCGCCCGTGTGCATGTGCACCTGGTCCTTGTTCCGGAAGAAATAAAACGTCGGCGTGGACTTCACCTTGAGCTCGTCGCGACACAAGATGGTCATGTCCTTGTTCTCGTTCCCGAACACTTTGATGAACCGCGCCGCCGAGAACCGCTCGGCGAAGTCGGCGTACTTTTTCGTGAACGCCTTGCACGGCTTGCAATACGTCACGCCCACCATGAGCACGGTCATCTGATCCGTGCCGTCCGCGTCGTCCAGGACTTGATTGAACTCCTCCATCGTGTGGATGATCTCCACGCTGCTGCTTCCGATGCTGTCCCTCCACCACCCCACGAACTCGTTGCGGCGGATGTCCCCGGTCACCTCGCTGTCCATCTCGACGAAGAGCTCCTTCAGCTCGACGTCGGTGAGCTTGATGTTGAGGCGTCCGATCGCGTTGTTCAGCTCCTCGATCGTGAGCGTCCCGGAGCCGTCCTCGTCGAACTCGTCGAACACAGCCCCGACCTGCTCGTCCGTCAACTTCTGCGGCGAGAGCCCCTTCTGGTGCCCGATCGCGGCGCGCACGCGCGCGGTGTCCCTTCGGAGCGTCAAAATCTCAGACGCGCCGACGGCGGCGCCCTCGACGGCGGCGGTGAGCCCCTGCTGCGCCTGCAGCACCGGCGTCGCCCCCGGCAGCGGCTTCATCATCGGCACCCACTTCTCGAACGACACGCTCGCGCGGCCGCAGATGATGAACCGGTCAGGCTGCGCGACGGCCTCGATCCTCGACAGGTAGTGCTGCACGCGTTCGGCCCACCGCGCCCAGTCTTCGTCCGTCGCCACCGCGTCTCCCTCCATCTCCCCCGGCGGCCGCGGGAGCGCGCTGTCGCGCCATCTGCCGCGGTTCCACGTCGATATCTGCTTCTCCACGTCCGCGGGGTTGTGAGCGAGGATGCCGCCGTCGAAGAGCGACACCCCGATGGATTTACCGAGCGTGACGCACACCGTCGTGCCGTCGCCCGCGCCGGCGGGACCGTACCGCATCTCGCCGAATCCCGTCGCCTCGGGGCCGGACATGACGACGACGTCCCTTCCCGTCGCGTTGCGCAGGTACGTCTCGATCTCCAGGCGCGATTGCCTGGAGCCGGAGACCTCCGCGTTCGTCGACGCGATCGCGTCGGCGAGCCGCGCGTTCGCGCCGGCGCCGCTCGCCGTCTTCGTCGCCTTCTTCTTCTCGTTGAACACCGGCGACGGCGGCTCGTCGAACGTCCCGTCGACGCTGTCGAAATCCGACGCGTCGAACGTCTCGTTGACGTTCTGATCCATCTCGATCTCGCGTCCGGGGAGGCCGATCCCGACGTTCCCTTGCCACCCGAAGTGTTTGATGATGGACGTCATCGCCGCCGCGATCGTGGACAGCTGCGAGTCCTCGAGCGGGACGGTGATGAGCTCGTCGATGAGTCGCCCGGTTTCCGTGTCCACCGGCGCGGCTCGGATGGCGCGCTTGTCCGATCGAGACACGCGCGAGTCGTACACCCCGAGGATGTTGCGACGGTCGGACAGCGACCCGGACGTCGGCGCCGCGGGCGTCTGCGCCGCGGTCTCCAACCCGCCCTGCCCAGTCTTGGCCACGGGGTTGGCGGACGCGGCGGCGCCAGCTGTCGCGGCGGCGGCGTTTTTGGCGTTCTCCGCGGCGATCTTCGCCCGTCGCTCCTCCGCCGCTTTCGCCGCCGCGTCCGCAGCCTCGTCCACCGGCGGCGGCTTCTCCCGACACTCCCCCTCCAAGTCCGTGCAGCTCCCCTCGCCCTTCTCCTCCATGTTGATCCGCCCGAGCGCGAGCAAGCCGTCCGCGGCGGAGCCCATGGACTGCCGGTTCTTCGACACCATCTTGTACGCGACGTTCGCCGCCGTGGAGAGCACGGGGAGCTTCGCGAGTTTGAACAGCCACCCCATGCCGGTGATGTCGTACAGCGAGGTGAGCGCGTCCATGCCGGTCAGGATCGAGTTGTCTTTGCTCTTGATGACGTGTATCGTCGCCATCGCCTCTTCGAAGGTTATGCCCTCGTTTTTATCGGGCGCGAACGTGGGCGCGGCGATGTCTTCGAACCAGATCTTCTCGTGTCCGCGCTTGGACTTGAGGAGCTTCACGAGCGAGTTGCACACGGTGCATCCGCCGTCGTACAGGTACTTGAGCTCCCAGTTATCGGGCTGGTCGTCGCGCTCGCCGTCGCCGGACGCGGCCGCGCGCGTCGTCGGCGCGACGCGTCGACGCATGCTCGTTTGCTTGTTGGACTTTCCAGGAGCCGCGACGAAACCGCGCGAGATCCGCGCCGCGGCGGCGCCGCGCGCGCGGACGGCGTCGGGACGCGCGAACGCGCCGGACCGCGCCGCGAGCGCGGGTGCGGCGAATGACGCCATCGCGTTCGAGCGATGCGAGATCTCGATGCCCTCGCGTTCGCTCTCGCGCGCGCGATAGGTTGGCGGCCGGGCCGGGGCGCGCCCACGTTTTTTGTGGTGCGGAAACGTGGCCGCGATCTGATCGTCCCTGTCATCATACTGTCGAACTCAGAAACGACGGTCTATTTCGCGTCGACTGGCGTGACGCACGTCGCGCCGCTTTTCACTTTATCGGTGCTCGAATCGTCGCATTTTTCTGACTATTTGCTCACTGCCGCGTCGTCCGTCGTCGTCCCGCCCTCCGTCGTCGTCCCCGCCCCCTCCGCGCGTCGCGATCGTCTCACCAACACTGCGGATCGAGATATTCCCACCAACGGCACGGCGGCCGCGGCGCCGGCGCGTCCCTCGCGGCCGGATCGGAGTCCGTCGCGGTCGCCGCCGCCGCGCCGCCGCCGCCGCCCGCGCCCGGGGGGCACGCGACGACTCGCAACCCCGGCGCGGTCGCGACGAAGGCGTACGGCTGCCCCCTCGGCGCGTCCGCGGGCGTCCACCGCACCGCGTGCCCGATCACGCGCACGACGTACGTCGCGGGCGATCGAACGCGCGTCGCCACCTTTTCGACGTTGTTTCTCCCGTCGCGCGGCGCGCCCTCTCCGAATCCGCCGCCGCCTCTCGCCCAATCGAAGCCCGCCGCGTGTCGACCGACGTCCACGTCGACGACGACGCGCTCGACCTCGAGGTCGAGGTCGTTCACGAGCGTTGGCCCGGCGGAAGGAAGCGCCGCGGGAGGGTCCGTCCACGCCAACGTGACGCGCAGCTCCGAGAAGGACGCGTCGTCGTCCGGCGCTTCCTCCTCCGCGCGAGGCACGACGCTCAGACACCACGCGTGCGCCTCTCCGGTCGCCAACGTCGCGTCGTCCACGGCGAACATCCGATCGCGGCCGTCGCCGTCGAGGAACGGCCCCGTGGGCAGGCTCCGCCCGACGTGCGCGCGGCCGTGCCCTTGCCTGACCGACGGCGGCGGCTCTGAGGGTCGTTCCATACGAGCGAACGTCGGGGTGGAGTTCATAGGCGTCAGTTGGAGTTGAAAGGCGTCGAGGCCGGGGATTGAAACCGAGGGGTGGGCGGAGAGAAAGGACGGGAAAAGTCCTTAAGGATCGGCGTTCACCACGCCAACGCGGTCGTATGGTAACCAGTGTGCAGAACGCGCCTAAGGGGACGCCGGCGGACGTGAACCCCGACATCGGCGCGGCGCCGTTGATGAGCGTCGCCTTGAGGAGCGCGCTCGACGGAGCGAACCCGTCGGAGGCGTTCGCGACGCCGGAGGGGTAGAAGCCGTCGGCGAAGTACTGCCGCGCGAGGATCGCCGCGCCAGCGACGATCGGCGTCGCCATGGACGTGCCCGCGATTTGCACGACGGCGCATCGAGCGTACGCGTCGAGCGTCTCTGATTTTCGTGTTTCGTCGGCGTCGGCGTCGCCGCCGACGATCGTCGGGACCGCGTTGAACCGAAGAAACGGCCCGGAAGCGGACGTTATCTCCCCCGGGGCGACGATATCCGGCTTCACCCTGCCGTCCTCCGTCGGGCCGAACGAACTAAACCCGGCGACGTGGTCGACCCGCCTCTCGCTGACTTCCGCGCGCGCGAACGTCGCGAAGACGTCCCCGGCGCGCGTCGCCGCGCGCAGCCTCACCGCGGAGCTCAGCGGGATCGACCCGGACGGAATCGCGTTCGGATCTCCGTCGCCGTCGCCGTCTCCGTCTTCGTCTCCGTCTCCGTCTTCTTCGTCGCTCGCCGCGTCCGCGGCGTCGGCGTCGGCGTCGTACCGCGCGCCCATCTTAAAGAACCCGGTGACGTCGTCGTTGGAGACGACGGCGACGGCGGCGCCCGCGGATCGCGCGTTCGCAATCTTGGCGGTGAAGAGACACCCGCCGCGGGCGATCAACGCGACCGCGCCGGCGACGTCGGCGGCGTTCGTCAGCGGCGCGCACGCGTCTTCGGGAGCCGCGACGACGATCGAGAGCGGGAGCGGCGCGTCGGTCGGGAACGCGCCGGGTCCCATGGACGCGGACGCGGCGTACACGCGAAAGGTCTCGGCGTCGTCGTCCTCGTCGTCGGCGGCGGCGGCCGCGCCCGGGGCGCGGACGGTCACTCGCATGTCGTAACTATCGCCGACGGCGCTCGGCGCGGGCGTCGGTCCGTCCCACCCTAACGAAGCGCCGACGCTGATCCCGTTCTTGCACGTCGACGGCGACGTCACCGTGGAGACGACGCCTGGAACGTAAAAGAGACAGACGCGGGGAGAGTGGGGATGAAGAAGGTAAGGTAAGGTCGGCCTCCTTGAGGATCAACATTCAACGCGCGCGCGGGGTCGTACGTGTACGGGAAGGGTCTCACCGTTGTGCCCGCCAAAGTTCCCGGCGGCGAAGACGGGGAGAAAATCCCGCCGCCGCCACGCGTAGTCGTCCACCTCGCGCGCGAGGCCGTCGTACAGCGGCGCGTCGTTGCCCCAGCTGTCGCTGTGCACGCGCGCGCCGTTATCGTACGCGAGCGAGTAGTAGATCTCCATGGACGTCGGGAGGTATAAGATGTCCCCGTCGCCGACGCCGATGTCCGTGAACACGACGCGCGCGTGCTTCGCCATGCCGTCGAAATCGGACGGCCGCCTCGCGTCGTTCTCTTCGTTCTCTTCGTTCTCTTCGTTCTCGTCCACCTCCGCGTCCGCGTCGCCGCATATGCTCGCGACGACGTGCGTCCCGTGCCCGTTCCCGTCGACGTCGTCGCCGTACTCGCTGAGATACGCCTGGATCTTCCGATGCGCGCTCCCGGGGGCGTTCCCGTCGCGATCTCGCAGCCAACACGAGTCGACGTCCAAGCCGCTGTCGCCGACGCCGACGAGCTGCCCGCGGCCGGTGAGCCCGGCGTCCCACACCGGCCGCCCCGCGCCGCCGCTCGCCCCCGCGGCGTCGCGCGGCGATCGACTCTCGCCGCCGTCGTCCCCGGCGCCGGTCTGGATGACCGAAGACGTCTGCATGTTCGCGGCCTTCATCGTCGGCACGTTTTCGATCCAGTGCACGTACGGCCTCTCAGACAGCGCGGCTAACACGCGGGGGATCCAGTCCTCGTAGTAGTCGTCGTCGAGATATTCGAATTGGACGACTTTGACGCTGATGCCGTCGCGGCGCTCGTAGTCGCTCGATATCGCTCGCCGCTCGATATCTTCAGCGTGGTGCACCTCACCGAGGCTGTCGGGCAGTGTTCCAACCTTAAACCAAAACGGGTTGTCGCTTCCGGTTTTTTTGAATCGTGACATCAACGTCGCTCGGAGATCCTCCGCGGCGGCGCGCGCGTCCACGTCCCTCACCGGCGGCAGGTTCACTTTCCATGTCCACGACTTCACGTGGACCTCGTCACTAGGGCCACCCCAGACGCGCGCCAACCTCGTCCTGTCCGCGTCATCGACCAGGGCTCTCCAGAGCTCCGGCGCCACGACGTGCGACGGTCTCAGGACGCCACTCCACGTCGTCTCCTCCAAGTCGTTCGCGCGCCTCGCCGCCTCCGGGGACGCGACGACGAGATACGCGCTGGAGGGGACGTACCCCGCGATCTCTCCGTCGTCGCCGAGCGCGTCCTCGAGCTTCGCGCGCGCGGCGACGGAGGCGAGGCGGAAGACGTGCTGCCGCGCGCCGTCCGCGCGGCGCCACCACCGCGGCGGGGGACGAGGGTCGAAGGGCAAGGGCGGAGGAGAAGCGCTCGAGGGGAGCGGGGTCGCGTCGACGACGCCGAGCCGTCGACGGCGGACGTCGTCGCGACGCGGCGGGTGCTCCTCGCCGTCGCGCGAGTCGATCGTCGCCGCGCGGAGGAAGACGTACGGGGTGTCGTCCGGGTCCTGCGGCGGGGACGGGGAGAGCGCGACCTTTCGCGGGTGAGTCGTCCTGTCGTCGTCGTGGTCGGGGAGGGGCTGTCGCGGGCGCGCGCGCGCGCGAGGTTCACACCTCCGCGAGATCGAGCGAAGACGAGGGCGTCGGCGTCGGCGCCGCGACGGCGCCGGCCGCGATGACGATCGTCCACGAGAACGCGAGCGCGGCGACGGCGGCGGCGAGACGCGTCATCGCGCCGCGCGCGGGAAGACTGCGCCGCCGTTCTCGGAGGAGCCAACTCCAGTAAAGATAAAAAAATTCTATCCTAAAGCCTGCGCCGCCGCCGCCGCCGCCGCCGCCGCCGCGTCCTAGTCGTCGAGCTCGATCCTCTTACTCGCGTCCCCGAACGCAACTCGCGCCTTCTCCTTCTTCTCCTTCTTCCCCCCGCGCGTCTTCATACCCGCCTTCTTCTGCGTCAGCTCCGTCAGGCTCCCTAGCGCGTACGACGGCGGCTCGACGTACTCGTCCTCGTACTCTTCCAATCCGCCGCTGTGCTCTAAGTCGATGTCTAGTCTATCTTCACTCGCGTCGTCGTCGTCGTCGTCGTCGTCGTCGTCCACGTCGTCGTCGTCGTCCACGTCGTCGTCGTCGTCCACGTCTTCGTCGTCCGCGCGCGCGGCGGCGACGCCCCTGAACGCCGCGTTCCCCCGCCCGCCGTGCGTCGTGATCGTGTCGATGGTCAAGACCTCGTCCGGGTTGTTGCGCTTCTCGAGCTCCACCCCCTTCGCCCACAACCCTTCGAGGTCGTAGTGCGCGCGCGCCTCGGCGCTGAACACGTGCACCGCGCACGAGCCGCAGTCCACGGTCATCCAGTGATCGTCCCCGCCCTCGCCGTTCTTCTTGTCCCCGCCCTCGATCGTCGGCTGCAGCGTGTTCCCGGCGACGTATCTCAGGTGCGTTCCATACGAGCGAACGTCGGGGTGGAGTTGAAAGGCGTCAGAAGGAGTTGAAAGGCGTCGAGGGCGGGGATTGAAACCTAGGGGTGGGAGGAGAGAAACCACGGCAAAAGTCCTTAAGGATCGGCGTTCACCACGCCAACGCGGTCGTATGGGAACCAGTGTATGGGACGCACCTCGTCCGGCTTTTCACCGCGTGGAGCGCCGCGCCGGCGAGCATCCGGATGTGCCGGGGCGACTTCGCCGTCGCGATGATGAAGTGCTCCGTCCACTTGCACCGCTCCCCGAGCGGGATGTGGACGACGTCGACGCCGCGCGCTCTCAGGAGGATGTCCACGAGCTCCCCGGGTTGAAACGCGTGGACGTAGTTGAGCGCTCTCTCGTCCTCCTCGGAGAGCTCGCCGTCGCGTTCGATCTTATCGACCTCGTCGAACGGCACGCCCGCGGCTTCCGCCATCTCCCGAAGCTCTTCCAGGTTCTCTTCTTCATCCTCCTCCTCCTCGTCGTCGACGTCGTCCGCCGCGGTCGCCGTCGCGGTCGCTCTCGTCTTCGCCGCGCGCTTCAGACGCGCCGCCTCTCTCGTCGACGCGACCGCGTCCTCCAGATACTTCTTCGCGGTCGCCGCCTCGGCGCTCTCGAAGCGCTCGAACAAGTCGTCGATCATCGCCGCGCGCGTCCTCCGACCGCCGCCGAGTCCCAGCCCGGCGATCTCGATCGCGCGCTCGAGGTCTTCTTTCGGGAGGCGTCGCATCGCGGCGAGCGTGAGCCCGGGTTTCGATTTCGATTTCGATTTCGATTTCGATTTCGTCGTCGTCGTCGTCGTCGTCGTCCGCGGCGGCGGCGGCGGCGCGTCGATGAACCCCCCGTCCGACGACCTCCTGCGCGTCTCCTTCGCGCGCTCGATCTCGTCCTCCGTCGCCTTCTTCTCCCTCGCCTCGTCCGCGCGCAACATCGCCAGAATCTCCAGCTCCTCGTCGTCCATGTCGTTCTCGTCCGCGTCCGCGGTCGGATTCGCCGCCTTCGCGCGCGCGGCGGCGAAGTGATCCGCGCTGAAGCCCGCCGACTTCGCCACGTTCGCGAGCACCTCCGGTCGCAGCGGCCACTTCATCGCGGACGTGACGACGCCACCGGCCTTCGCGTTCGCGCCGCGCGGCGGCGTCTCCTTCGCGATCCCGTCCGGGTCGTCGACGACGCGGAACAGCGACCCGTCGTCGTCGTCGTCGTCGTCGCCCCCGCCTCCTCCTCCGCGCGCGGTCGACGCCGCGCGGACCCAGCCGAGATGGCTCAGCGCGTCGGACGTCGACGCGAGGCGTCGCGCGAGCGCGGTCGCCGCCGCGGCGAGGCGCGACATCGCGCGACGCTCTCGATCCCCGCTCGCCGCCCGCCGCCCGGCTCGCGCGCGTCGTAGTGGCGGCCGCGTCGTAGTGTAGTTTTTGCACTCAGAAGTGGGAAAACACGTTCCTGTCGCGCTGATGCGGTGCGTTCTCTACAAACGTTTTTCACCCACCGCTCGGTTTCAACATTTGATCGCTCTCCCTTTCAACTGACCGGTGAACTATTTTTGTATGGAATGGCCCTGAGAGTCGTCGTTCGTCCGCGACGCCGCCCGCCGCCGCACATCGACCGCGCGCGAGAGCGCGATGACCGAGCGACTCGAGCCCGCGGGCCCGTGCCACCCGTGCCCGAAGACGCGCCTCGGAGGACGGCAGAACGACCTCCCGGACGAGTACTGCAGCGCGTCCACGTGCGTCCGCGCAGGCGTCCTCGCGCGATCGATCTCGCGCGTCCACTCGCATCTCGCGTCGTCGTCGCGTCCTCTCAAACCGCGCGTAGTTTTGAAACGTCGCGTCGCGTCGCGTCGCCGTCGCCGTCGGTCGTCCCGGCCGATCCCCGACGCTCCTCTCTCTCTCTCCCCCCCCGCATCTCGCGCCGCAGGAAGAGCGGGAGGCCGTGCGCGAAGCGCAAGGACCCGAGCTGCGCGCTTCCGTTCTGCGCGCACCACAGGGAGAGGGGCGACGGCGCGTTCAGGGTCGTCCCGCATCCGACCGCGGGCAGCGTCCTCGTCGCCAACTTCGACGTCCCCAAGGGCTACAGGGCCGTCTTCTGGGGCACGCGGAAGCGATGGCGCGACACGGAGAACAAAGAGGGCGGCGACTACGCGATGGCGTTCCGCTCGAACGGCGGCGTGATCGACCCGACGACGCACAAGACCGGGTCTCAGCTGCAGTTCATGTCGTGCCCCGGTCCGAACGAGCGGATGAACATGCGGCACACGGACTTCTTCTTCGGCGCGACGAGAGAGGTCGGCCTCGTCGGGCGGCAGTTCGTCGTCACCGAGGACGTTCCGAAGAACCACCAGTTTCTGATATGGTACGGATCGCAGTGGTTCACCGCGCGAGGGATCGATCGCATCGACGTCGGGACGAAGAGATACCCGGTGTCGTCGTTGAAGAGGACGACGCACAGCTGTGCGACCGCGGCGGGGGCGTCCTCCGCGGGAGACGACGACGCCGGCGCGGGGGCGAAGGGGACGAAGAAGGCGAAGCGGCGCGCGCTCGAGGACCTGAGCAACGGCGGCGGGAAGAAGGGCAAGGCGAGGTCGAGCGCGACGGCGACGGCGTGAGGAAGGCGCTCGAGGAGGATGGCACGAATTGATTTGATTTTTTACGCGCGTGACGGGACGGACGAAACGACGCGACGCGATTTTACGAACGAAAGGCGTTCTTCTCTTACGACATCGTCGCCATCACTTCGAGTACCCGAGCGTCCACCCGTGCGTGCCGTGGTTCGCCGCGTTCAAGAACGCCACCTGCGCCGCGTGCGCCGTCGCCGGCGGGTTCTTCCCCGGGAAGAAAAACGACGCGCGCATCAGCGCCTTTTGCGCCGGCGTCAACGTCCGCGGAAACAAGACGTCGAAGACGATCACGAGGTCCCCCTTGCCCTGCCCGTCCGCGCGCGGCATCCCCTCGCCCTTGACGATCTTCCTGTCTCCCGTGTTCACGATCTCCGTCACCGGGAGCGATAAATGCCGTCCGTCCAGCGTCGGTATCCTGAGCGTCGCGCCGCACAGCGAGTCGATCAGCGGTATCTTCGCCGCGTACACCAGATGATCCCCGGTCCGCGTGAAGATCGGATGCTTCAGCGCGGCGGCGACGTACACCACCGGCCCGGGCTCCATCCCCGGTCGCTGGTTCCCCTCGCCCTCGAACACGAACCGCCGGCCGTTCTCGCACCCGGGCGGCACCGCGAGCGTCAGCGCGCGCTCCTCCTCCTCGACGTCGCCGCCGTCGTCGCGCTGAGGGTCGTTCCATACGAGCGAACATCGGGGTGGAGTTCAAAGGCGTCAGAAGCGGAGTTGAAAGGCGTCGAGGCCGGGGATTGAAACCGAGGGGTGGGAGGAGAGAAACCACGGCAAAAGTCCTTAAGGATCGGCGTTCACCACGCCAACGCGGTCGTATGGGGACCAGTGTACAGAACGCGCCTGGATCCGTCGCACGTGCCGCACCGTCTTCTGGCACCCCGCGTGGAGCTCCTCGAGCGTGAGCCCGACGTCGTACGTCCGCTGCTTCCCGAGCTCCGCGCGGTCGTCCTCCGCGAGCGCGCCGAACGCGGCGGAGATGTCCATGAGCGCGGCGTAGGGGTTGGACGTGCCGAAGAACGTCTCGAAGACGGAGATCGGGGACACCTCGAACGCGTAGATCCCGCCGCGGACGCCGCCCTTCCCGTCCGGGACGCCGCGCTTCAGGCCCTCCTCGCCGAGGACGTCGAACGTCGCTTTCAGTTTCGCTGCGGATCGCGAGAGAGGAGGGAGGAGGAAGAGAAGAGAGCGCGGGGTGGCGCGGGCGGGACGGCGGGTGAGTCGACGGACGGGGACGGCGACGGCGAGGGAGCGAGCACTGCGCGGGGGAGCGATACCATCCCACCACATCGATCGGGGGACGGATTAAGTACGGCGGGCGACTCGCGCACCGTCGGAGAGGACGTCGTACGCCTCCGCGACGCGCTTGAATATCAGCGCCGCGTCCTCCGTCGGGTCTTTGTCCGGGTGGTACATCAGCGCGAGCTTGCGGTACCTGGAGGAGGAGGAGCGGGGAGGGACGCGGGAGGGGGGAGGCGTCGGTGAGTCGTCGCAATTCGGCGAGCCGCCCGCGCGGTGGAGCGAACGAATTCATTCTCGTCCTCGCGGGTCGCGTCGCGCGACGAGCGGGACGCGCGCCGCGGGCGGGCGCGACGCGCGGGCGCGCACGCTTTCTTGATGTCCAGGTCCGTCGCCGAGGCCGTGAGCCCGAGCTCATCGTAGTAGTCCATCCTGGACGTGCTGCGCGCGCGCGGCCAGTGCCCGAGACCCGCGGTCGCGCTGCCGTATTTAGACGCGCCCGAGTCGCTTCATCGCGACGCGACGACGCGACGAGCCGCGCGCGTTTCGAATCTCCTTCATCCATCACCAGCCATTCGGCGATGCGCGGAGGAGGCGCGCTGCTCGCGGCGGTCCTCCTGCTCGCGCGCGCGACCCCTCACGACGCCGCGCGCCCGCTCCCGGACGAGCAGCGCCTGCCGGGATGGCTCGGGGAGACGCACCGCGTCGACGTCGCGTCCGCGAAGAAGCTCCGCGGCGGCGGTGGCGTCGCGCGCGATGACGCCTCCGCCTCATCAGATGCCTCCTTCTTCTCCGCCTCGAACGTGACGACGCTCTCCGCGTCGTCCCCGCGCGCGTACGTCTACCGCGGGTTCCTGACCGACGCGGAGTGCGACCACTTCATCGCGCGCGCGAGCCCGAAGCTCGCCAAGTCCAACGTCGTGGACACCGACACGGGCGAGGGCGTCCCGAGCGCGATCCGCACGTCGGACGGCATGTTCTTCGACCGCGGCGAGGACGACGTCGTGGACGCCGTCGAGCGACGCATCTCCGCGTGGACGCGCCTGCCGACGGAGAACGGCGAGGGCATGCAAGTGCTGCGGTACGCGGGCGGGCAAAAGTACGACGCGCACCTGGACGCGTTCGTGGACAAGTTCAACGCGGACGACGCGCACGGCGGACAGGTTCTATCTCACACTGGTCCCCATACGACAGCGTTGGCGTGGTGAACGCCGATCCTTAAGGACTTTCGCCGGCGTTTCTCTCCTCCCACCCCTCGGTTTCAATCCCCGCCCTCGACGCCTTTCAACTCCACCTGACGCCTTTGAACTCCACCCCGGCGGACAGCGCGTAGCGACGGTGCTCATGTATCTCAACGACGTCGACGACGGCGGCGAGACGGTGTTTCCGGAGACGACGGCGAAGCCGCACGTCGGCGACGAGCGGTACAGCGCGTGCGCGCGCAGGGGCGTCGCGGTAAAGCCGAGGCGAGGGGACGCGCTGCTGTTCTGGAGCATGGACGAGACGTTCACGCGGGTGGACCACAAGGCGCGTCGCGTCGGTCGCCGCGTTCGTTCGTTTCTCTCCGCCCGTCCCTCGGTTTCAATCCCGACGCGCCGCGACGCCTTTCAACTCCACCCCTGACGCCTTTCAAATCCACCCCGACGTCGCTCGCTTCGCATGGAAAATGAATGACCCTCAGTCGCTGCACGGCGGGTGCCCCGTGGGCGCGGGGGGCGTGAAGTGGTCGATGACCAAGTGGATCCACAAGGGCGCGTTCAGTCGAGGGCACAAGATGAAGTTCCCGGAGGGCGTGTGCGACGACGAGGACGCCAACTGCGCGGGGTGGGCGAAGAGCGGCGAGTGCGAGAAGAACCCGGCGTACATGACGGGCGACGGGAGGGAGAACGACGGGCACTGCGCGTTTTCGTGCGGGACGTGTCCTCGAGGGTCGAAGAGGCTCGACGGCACCGCGGCGGCGACGCCGGCGGACGCGGGAGAGGCGCCCCCGGCGCGCGCGGCGGAAGAGCCGGAGTTTTAGCGTACTGTAGGTAGACGAGAAGAAGATCAGACGACCGATGCGTCGGAAGAGAAGAGTCGACGATCACGAAACGAGAAGCGGAAGATCCACGTGTGAGCGGTGTGGTGCGACTAAATCTTGTTGCTTCGCACGCCGGTGACTTCCTCGGGCAGCGGCCGGTTGAACCCCCCCGGGCGGTTCATGTACTGCCTCGCCCGCCGCGTCGTCTTCTTATTCGCGCCGCTTACGTTCGCGTTCGGGTCGTCCACGTGCTTCCCCTGGGTGGAGTTGAACCCGCCGAAGCCCATCATTCGCATCATCTCCGCCTCCGCGTCGTCGACGGGGGCCGCGTCCTCCTCCTCCGCCGCAGCCGCGGCTTTCGCTTCCTTCTCCAACTTTTTCAGCCGCTTCTTCGACGGTCCAGCGGCCGCGGGGACGGCGTCGTCGTCGTCGCGCGCGGGCGCGACGTGCCCGGGCGGCGGCGGCGGCGGGACGTCGCGGACGTCGCGGCGACCGGGGCCGTCGCGGTCGCGGTCGCGGTTGCGGTCGCGTTCCAAATCGCCCAGGAATCGCTCCGCGTCTCTCCGGTCCTCCCACCCGTCGCGGCCGCGGACGCTCCGTCCGAAGTCGTCCACGCGATCGTCCACCCTCTCGCGCGACGATCGACGGTCGTCCCTTCGGTCGTACGGGTGGTGCCTGTCGCGTCCTCGGTCCCGTCCGCCGTGTCCGTCTCTCCCGCCGCCGCCGCGGTCTCGTCTGTCGTAGTCGTCGTCTCTGTCTCTGTCTCCGTCTCTCGCGTCGCGCCTCGGCGGCGACCGGTCCCGGTCCCTCGACCTGTCGCGCCCCATCTCCTCCTGGCCTATCCTCCTCCCACGCTCGCGCTCGCGCTCACGCCGCCGCGGCGTTCGCCTTGTCTCTCGTCGCGAGGAGCGCCGCGAGCTTGGTCTCGTCCTCGCGCTTCTTGTCGAAGTGCGCCACCCAGCTCTGCGGGCAGTGCTTCTCGTACGCGCTCCGGAGCTTCCTCGCGGCGCGCGATTTCGGCGCGTTCGTCTCTTCAAGGCACGCGTAGTACGCGTCTCGAGCCTGCGCGGGGGGAGGGTGGGGGGAGGGGAGCGTGCGCGGTCGGCGACGCGACGCGGACGGGCGGGACGAACCCTACGAATTCATTCATTCGACGCGATTCGACGAGATTCGACGTCGACGCGCGGGGACGCGACGACGACGACGACGACGACGACGACGACGACGCGCGGGCCGCGACGCGCACCTCGTAGCACTTCTTGCGTTCCTCGACGAGCATGAAGCGGGCGCGGCGGGTCGACGCGGGCGACCGAGTGACGACGACGACGGATCGATCGCGCCTCGCGCCCGAGGCGAGGCCGGCCCGACGACGTGGTCCCGAGCCTGCCCGCACTCGATACCAGTTACAGTGCCGGTTTCGCGCGGTCGGTTTCGCGCGAATGGCTCTCGACCAATCAGGGGCTCTCTTCACAGGTTCTTTCCTTCCACTCCAGTCTTTCGTTTCTTTCCCCGAGTGCGGGAGTTAAAAACCAAAAGAAAAAAGCGCACTCGCTTTCCCTGCCCATAGACGGAATCGCGAATAGGCGCGCTTCGCTCGAGGCGCAGGTCTCGTTCCAACCACGGGCGCCCACGAGTGGGACAGCGTGAAAGCCGCCTGCGAAAGTTCAGCCGAGACGCGCGCTGAAATGTCTGCGGCGGTGGCGGGGAACATGCACTCGCCGACCGACTCGCTTCCTCCGGCGAATGTCGAAGACGACGACCTCGACGACCTGGACGACGACGACGACGACGTGCGCGCGACGCGATCCCCCCCGCGCGCGTTTTTTCGCGCGCGCGCCTCCGTAACTCGCTCGAAAAGCTCCCCGCGTCGCTCGCGCGGCAAAACGCGCGTCGCGCGACGCGTCGCCGCGCGAAGACCGGGCGTCCCGGCACTCGCGAGAAAAGTATTTTTCTCTCTCCGTGCACCAGCCAGGAGCTCGAGAGTGCGCAGATCTCGTCTGGCGACCCCCCCTCCGTGGTCCCTCCGCTGACGCGCGTTCCCCCGCTCGTTCCTCCGTCATCGCAGCCGAAAGCCGTGACGAAGACGAAGAAGACGACGTCGTCGATCTACCGAGGCGTGCGCCAGCGACCGTGGGGAAGGTGCGCGCGCGTCGCGCTCGAATCGCCCCCGCGTCCTCGAGCCCCCTCGCGCGAGAACGCAGTCATTTTTCGCGTCGTTTGCAGGTTTCCACCCTGTCACTGGAAACCTGGTCTCGAACGACACGGACGCGTCGTCGTTCGCGCGTCGCGCGCGCGCGCGCGCGTCGCCGTCTCGCGCGTATTTCGATGCGCGCGGAACCGCGCGCGCGCGTCCTCCGCGTCCCCCGACCCCCGGGGCGGTTCTATCCCCGCGCGCGTCGCCCTCGCGCGCGAACGCGCGCGTCCCCAGGGAGCCTCTCGACGATTGGCACCGAGGAGCGAGAAAATTGTCGCCCCGAAAATATCGCGACGTTGTCGAGTTTTCCTCTGTCTCTGACGCTCTCCCGCGCTCCCTCCCCCGCGCCGTACCCTCGCGCAGCTGGGCCGCGGAGATCCGCGACCCGAACCGCGGCGCGCGCCTCTGGCTCGGCACGTTCGACACCGCGGAGGAGGCCGCGCGCGCGTACGACGCCGCCGCGAGGCACATACGAGGCCCGAACGCGAGGACCAACTTCCAGCTCGCGCCCGGCGAGGTGCCGCCGCCGTTCGTCCTCCCTGACCCGCCCACCGGCGGCCGCGGCGGCCGCGGCAGAGGTGACGGGCCGGACTCCCCGGGCGGCGGGAGAGGCGGGAGAGGCGGAAGAGGCGGACCTCACGTCGCGAAGAAAGGGCGCGGCGCGGGCGCGGGCATGCCGAAGACCGGCGTTGGGCTCGGCGGCGGCGGCTACGGCGTCGGCGGCGGCGGCGGCGGCGGCTTCCTCGGCGCTTTCGCGGGGGCCCACTCCAACGCGTTTAAACCGTCCGTCGTCGGCGCGTCGCACGGGCGCTTCAACGCGACCGCGCACGGCGGGACGCACACCGCGAACGACCTCAGCGCGCTCGTGAACGCGAACCTCGCGCTGGCGCAGCAGAACCTCAGCATGGCGGGCGCGCACGGAGGGCACGGAGCGGGCGCGGGGTCGGGATCGGACGGCGGATTCATCCGCCTCGGCGGCGCGGGCGTCGGCGGCGGGAACCACCACCACCACCACGTCGTCGGCGAGATTCCGAGGATACACAACTCCAAGCGCGAGCGAGCGCCGAGTAACCCGTTCTTGGGGACGTCGTTCGGCGTCGCCGGGAGCTTTGGCAGCGTTTTCGGGCACGACTACCTGTCGTCCACGCCCGACGGCGGCTTGGGTTTCCCGTCGCACTTCGGCTCCTCCCCGGGCGCGGGCGGCGAGTTACACGGCGGGTCGCACCACGGGCGAAGCGGCGGCGGGGCCTCGCACGAGGGTTCGCACCACGGGCGAAGCGGCGGTGGGGGGCTGGGCGGCGGGGGGTTCTCCCTCGGCGCGGCGATCAAGGACGACTTCGAGGTTGGATCGCTGGGCGCCGCGGGGGGGCTGGACGACTCGGTGATGCCGATCGGCTCGATGGAGCTCGGGTCGCCGCTGGACTCGTTCGGGGATCTCATGGGGTCGCTGCCGAAAGGGGGGTCGCTCGGGTTGAAGAATTCACTCGGCGGGGGGAACAAGAACGGCGCGGGAGGTTTGCCGTTCGGGAGGAGTAGCCAGGGCGACGGGCGGACCGCGACGGATGCGCTGAAGATGCGTTGAGCGTCGCCCGGCTGGCTGTTTTTCGCCGGGGGGGGTCGTTATTTTTGGCGCCGCCGACGCGCTCCTAGGTCGTCCGCCCAGGGCTCGAGGCGCACGCCTCGCCCGGACCGGAATAAACGACGTGTGTTAGTACTTTTGTTTTCTTGGGAATACGTATGCTGATTGTAAGAATGACGGGATCACTTTGGGGTCGTTTGAGGCATCCGTCGCTTCGTCGCGCGTCGCGAATGATGGAAAGTTCTTTTCGCTCTTCGTTACACGGCGTTCGTCCGTCCGTCTCGCTCGCGAAGAGCCGTTCACTCATTGAGCCGCTCGTCCTCGGGACGAGCCGCTCGGCTATCTAGAGAACATCTCTCGCCGGACCTCCTATACTCATCACGACGTGAAACGAATCGCGGCGCGATCGTTCACTCGCGAACGGACGCGTGCGCGCATTCATTCGCGAGCGGTCGAGCCGGGGAAAAGACAGACGCGCGCGCCGCTTACTTCTTCTTCTTCCCCTTGAACTGACCGTTCTTGAGCGCGTCCTCGTACCCGGCGCCGATCACGCCGGAGTCACGGCACGCGGCGTTGTTGAACCACTCCCAGAAGTCGAACTCGCCCTTCTGTCGACGCGACGGAACGAGAGAGCGCGAGAAGGTCAGAAGGAGCGAAAAAAAAAGACGCGCGCTTCCGAAAAAACGAGCGTCGAGTGGCGGGAGGATAACCGGGACGAATTCCGACGCGAGCGCGGCGCGACGCCGCGCGGCCGCGCGCGCGCGATCAATCGATGGGCGATGCGTCCCGCACGAGCGATGCGGTCGACGCGATCCCACCGCGCGCGCGACGCGCGGATCGATCGCGCCGCGCGCGCGGCGTCGCGAACGCGCGGGGAGGGTCCGCGACGCGATCGCGAGTTTCGTCGTGTCGCACCTTGCCAGCGGCCTTCTTCTTCGGCGGCGCCTTCTTCGCGGCGGCGGCGACGACGCGCGTGGAGCGCGCGGGGCGCGCCGCGCGCGCGGGGGCGGCGACCACGGGGGTGCCGACGAGCGTGGAGGTAGCGAACATGATGGACGGGCGTGCGTCGAGCGTCGATGAGTGACCGATCGCTCCCGCGGCGACGGCGAAACCTTACCCACACTCGCCACTCGTGCGCGGAGGCTCGCCGCTGATTCGTCGAGCGCGCATAGGAGTTATTAGACCGTCGATCGACTCCGTGTCTCCGACCCCAACCGGCGTCGACAGTCGCGCGCGGCGAAAACTTGAAAACCAAACGCGAACTGATTGATGACTGATGAACGAACACCTCGAGCTCGGCGTCGTCACAGCGTCCGCGCCGCGCCTCCCTTCGACGATGTCCGACCCCACCGGCGGGACGCAGACGCGGCCGCCGGCGCGCGCCGCCGGCGGCGGCGGGAACCGCGCGTGCTTCAAGTGCGGGAAGACCGGGCACTGGAGCCGCGACTGCGTCGCCCCCAGAGAGGAGTGGATCCCGCGCGATCAGCAGCCCTCGGGCGCGGACGCGGACGCGGAGGCGGCGATGAACGACGCGGAAGGAGGCGGCGCGATGGGGGGCGGCGCGGGCGGCGCCCCCGCGGTCAAGCTCACCAAGTCCGGGAAGCCGTCCACGAGGAAGCCGAAGTTCACGGTCGTCGATCACCTCCTCGGTCCTAACGGGATCGCGTACGTCTACAACGTCATACCGGAGAAGTATAAGGCGCGTTCTATACACTGGTTCCCATACGACCGCGTCGGCGTGGTGAACGCCGATCCTTAAGGACTTTTCCCGACGCATCTCTCCGTCCACCCCTCGCTTTCAATCCCCGCCCGCGATGCCTTTCATCTCCAACTGACGCCTTTCAACTCCACCCCGACACTCGCTCGTATGGAACGACCCTAAGGCGATACGCAAAGGCCCGGGGCACGAGCTCGGCGACTTCGCGCGCCTCATGAGTCTGTACCGCGAGTGGACGACGCTGATGTACCCGTACGCGCCGCACGAGGAGGTGATGAAGAAAGTCGAGCGCCTGAAGAAGACGCGCGAGGTTCGCGCGTGCATCGCGGAGCTGAAGGAACGCGACCGGATCGCAAACGGCGGCGACCCCGCGGACGCGCCGGCGCCGGAGGAGGACGGCGACGTCGTCGACGGCGAGGACGTGTTCTTCCCGGACGAGGACTCGGACGACGACGTGCCGGGTCACGAGGGGAAGGAGGTGGAAGAGGAGGAGGAGGAGTGGAACGCGGCGAAGCACGCGGGGGACGAGGAGGAGGAGGAGGACGACGACCTCGCCGCGTTGATGGAAACGGAGCGCGGCGGCGGCGGCGGCGACGACGACGACGACGCCGGCGCCGCGGCGGCGGCGAAGAAGAAGAAGAAGAAGAAGCCGAGAGGTCCCCGGGAGACGGACGAGGAGATGTTCGCGCGCGAGGAAGCGCGCGCGGACGAGATCGACCGCGCGCGGCGCGAGGGCGCCGTCGACGTGAACTTCGACGAGAGCTCCTCTGACGACGACGACGACGACGTCGTCATCGCGGCGCCGAGGTCGGGACGCGGCGCGCGCGGGGATGCGGCGACGCGCGGGAAGGCGGTGAAGAAGATCAAGGAGAAGGTCGGCGGGAGGAAGAAGAGCAAGAACACGCTCGAGAAGGAAGCCGCCGCCGCGGAGAAGGCGGCCGCGGAGAAGGCGGAAGCGGAAGCCGCGGACCCGACGCGGCGGAAAAAGCTCGGCCGCGCGCGCGCCAACGCGTCGGACGACGACGACGACGACGACGACGACGCGGGCGCGGCCGCCGCCGAAGACACGAGACGCCGCCGCCGCGTCACCGCGATCGAAGACAGCGACAGCGACAGCGAGTCCGACCCTCGGACGCGCATTCCCGCGGAGAACGGCGGGGACTTGTTCGTGCCGTCTCCGAGCAAGTACACGGTGCCCAAGTTTCTTTACGAGAGCGACGGCGGCGACGACGTGAAGGAGGAGGAGGACCCTAGCGACAAGGCGGAGAAGAAGCGCGACGCCGCGGCCGCGGACCTGGGCGAGGGCGACAAGGCGTGAACGGTAGAGGACGTGCGACGCGCGCGATGAACGATGAACGAGACGAAACGAGACGACGACGCGAAGGTATTAGTGAACGACGACGGCGGCGTCGTCGAGTTGCAAACATTTAATCCCACCCGCCCGACCCAGCCGCGTCGCGTCGCGTCGCGTCGCAACTTGATCACAACTTGCTCACCGCGCCCGCCGACCCCGCGCCCGCGGGCACCCTGGACGTCAACACCCTCACCTCGTCCCCAACAATCTCGATCACCTCCGGGTCCGCGCCGACCACGCCGAACGACATCCCGACGTCGATTCTCCATATCCGTCCGTCGCACTCCGCGTTGCACCCGCCGAGCTGCGGCGTGTGTCCGACGACCAGACGCTTCGCGCCGTCGATCGCGTCGAGCGTCTTCCCGAGCGTCTCGCACGCACGGTCGCGGTCGCCCTGCGACATGAAGTTTTCCTGCCCGAACGTCCGGTTCCACACGACGCTGTCCTTCACGCTCCCGATGGCCATCCCCAGCGCGGTTCTGTCCTCCTCCGAGGAGATCTCCGCGCCGCGCATCCAGTCCGCGACGGCGTTGTTGAGCTTCTCTAGCCCAAACTCCACGTGGCGCGGCATCAGGCCGCCGTGCGCGAAGACCGTGTCGTTCACGATCAGCACCGTGCTGTTCATCGCGAGCTGCTGCGCGAGCGGGCCGCCCGGAGAGAACAGACCGACCCTCGCCTTGACCTGCTTCTTCCGCGGATCTTCCTCGTTCCCGCCGAACGCGTCTCGAAACGCGTCGCCGAACAGGTTGACGAGGTGCTCGCCGAAGCGCGTGGACTCCTGGAACGCGCCCTGCGTGACGTACCGGAAGTCCCCGGAGACGTTCAAGACCTCGTGATTGCCGTTGAGGATGTACACCGCGCCGCCGTCCGCCTGCGCGGCTTTGTGAAGCTTCTGCAGCAATATCAAGATCGCGATCTCGTCGTCGCCGCGATCGAGCACGTCCCCCACCTGCACGACGACGGTGTCGCCGCCGATCCACGTCGGGTTCACCGCGTCGCCGTCTTCGCCCAACACGCCCGCGATCGTCAGCGCTCTGCGCGCCTGACCGATGTCCCCGTGCACGTCGCCCAGCGCGACGACGCGGCCTTTCGCGGTCACGCGAAGGGGCGGATACGGTCCCGCCCCCGCGGCGGGCGGCGACGTCGACGACGCGCCGGGCGCGGCGGACGACGCGCACATCGGCGCGACGCGTCTTCGGAGCGACGCGACGTGCGCGCTCGCGCGGTCGCCGCCGCGCGTCAGCGACGACGTCGCGTTGCCGCCGGGCACCCTGGAGGACAGCCGCGGCGCGGTTCGCATCGTCGCGCGCACCCACGTCCGCGCCGCGCAGAGCATCGTCGCTCGCGTCGTCGTCGTCGTCGTCGTCGTCGTCGTCGTCGCGCGACGCCCGCCCCTCGCGCGCGCGCCTCCCGCCGCCCTCGCGCTCGCGCTCGCGACGACCGCGACCGTGCCTCCCGCGCGCGCGCGCCCGGACGCGCGACGCTGTTACCCGCGACGTTCTCTCGAGCGCGCCGTCGCCGTCGCCTCGTGGATGCTAGAGTGAGCCGGGCTCGGAGGAGTGGCGTGGCTCTCTGCGCGAAGATGAGCCGCAAGAACCCATCGATCGCGCGACTCGAAAACGACGGTTTAAAGCGCTCGACTTCGGATCGCGGTCGGTCAAACAGTGTTGATGACAGAACTGTGGAACTTCCATCAACCATCAGAATCGGTGGCGATGGCGACGACGCGCGCGCTCGTCCCGCGCGGCCTTCCCCGGCCGCCCCCCCGGACGCGCGCGCGCCGGCGCGTCCCCGCGCTCCGACGCGCGGCGCCGCGCGACGCGTGCGCCCCGGAGGAGCCGCACCTCGAGGACGTCCTCTCGAGCAGCGGACGCACGACGGACATGGCGCGATCGCTGTGGGCCGCCGCGCTCCGCGTCGGCGACGTCGCGATCGACGCGACCGCGGGGAACGGCCACGACACCGTCGCGCTCGCGCGCCTCGTCGCGCGCGACGACGCCGACGCCGCCGGTCGCGTCGTCGCGTACGACGTGCAGGCGTCCGCGGTCGCGTCCGCGCGCGCGAGGGTGACGCGCGAGCTGCCGCCCGCGACGGCCGCGCGCGTGGAGCTGAGGCACGCGTCGCACGACACGATGGCCGCGGATGTTCCGACGCCCGATAGCGTCGGCGTCGTGTGCTTCAACCTTGGGTACCTCCCGGGCGCGGACAGCGACAAGAGCGTGACGACGACGACGGACGCGACCGTGCGCGCGGTGACGACCGCGACGGGATTGCTGAGAGAGGGGGGCGTCGTGACGGTCGTCGCGTACGTCGGGCACGACGGCGGCGCGGAGGAAACGGCCGCGGTGTTGGCGTTTTGTGCGACCCTCGATCCGAAACGGTTCGTCGTGAGTCATCACGTGGTGTTGAACCGGAAGAACAGCCCGCAGCTCGTCGCGGTGCATCGAAGGATGAACCGCGGGTGACGAGGGCGGGAGGAAGAGGATTCGGTCGCGGTGCGTCGGCTCGACCCCGCCCCCGCGCGCGTGCGATGACGAGAGCCGCGCTCGAACTTCGAGCGCAGAACCGAACACCGCGAGGTGGTCGTGAGCGAGATAAACAACCTCCTACTCATTCCGAGCACGCGTTTCTTCCTTCTTTCCTTTCCTTTCCTTTCTCTCTCGGTCGGTTTCGTCCCGCGACGACGAAACGTCTCCCGCTCATCGCTTTCTTTTCACCGCCGCAGCGCAGGGGACGACGCAGAGTAGAGTAGAACGAACCTAGCTAGATAGTGGTAGTACAACACAACGCGCGCGCGCGCAGCACGACGTCGACGCTACGCGTACGACCCGCGCTCGCTCGGAAGCAGCGCCGCGGTCTCCTCGCCCTCGAGCGCCTCTCCCTCCTCCCCGCCGCCGCCGCCGCCGCCGCCGCCGTATCGCCGGCTCTGCGCGAGTACCGTCACGTCGAGCGCGACCGTCCCCAAACTCCCGAGCAGCCACGGCGCGGACGCGAGCACCCCCGCCCACGACGCCGCGCGCAGGAGTATCGCGACGCCGTACGTCACGTTCGCCGCGACCGCGGTGGCGAACATCGCCGCCGACAGCCCCTCGCACGACTTCCTCGCGCGGTTTTTGAGAATCTGAGACACCCTCGAGCCGAGATAAAACGCGGACGAGACGTACCCCGCGGCTCGCCCGATCGCGACCTCCCACTCCGGGTTCGTCGAGACGTCGCAGTACGGAAGCGACGACGGCGACGGCGGCGACGAGCGGTGGCGCGAGTGATCGCGCGAGCGGTGCGACGCCCACCGATTCGACCACGCGCCGTCGCGTCCGGCGAAGAAAAAAACGCCGACCACGACGACGACGCACGCCGCCGCCGCCGCCTTCGCGCCGCGGCCCGCGAGCCTCCCGCGCGGCTTGGCGTCGGCGTCGGCGCTCGCGCGCGCGCGGCCGTCGCGTCGTCGCGCCGCCGCCGCCGTCGTCGTCGTCGCGGCGGCGGCGGTTATCGAGTCCCACGCGTCCGCGGCGCCGCCGCCCTCCTCCTCCTCCTCCTCCTCCGCCGCCGCCGCCGCGGCCAAGAGCGACTCCTCGTCGTCCTCCGTCGCGTCCGCGAGATCCTTCCCCACCAGCGCCAGCGCGTCGCGGCGCGACAGCGCGTAGTACGCGTACTGCGCGATCATCCCCACGTCGACGCACACGAAGTAACACGCGGTGTACACCTGCGACGGGAGCTGGTCGCCCGCGAAGAGGCACCCGGAGAGATTCATGGCGTCGCCCGCGAGCCACTCCGCGAGAAAGTACGGCGAGAGCGACTCCGCGGACTTGAGGCGGTAGTTCCGAAGCATCTGCGGCAGCTGCGCGAAGAGCCAGCACGCGATGGAGACGAGGCCGAGGTAGAACCCGAGCTCGTCGGGGACGGTGTACACGCAGTCCTTGAACGTCGCGCGGATCTGGAAGGAGGCGGGGCGAATGGAGGGGCGCGGAGGTAAGATTCGAACGACGCGAGAAGGCGAACGTCCGAGGAGTGCCGGGCGGCGCGCGCGCGCGGGCGGAGGGCGCACCCAGTCGACGCTGCCTTCCCCGCGGGAGCACTCGCACGTGAACGACATCCCGGCGCGACGGACGCGCCGGTCCTAGCTAGAACCCGGACGCGAGCCGCGCTCGGCGCGTCCGAGGAGTGCCGCGACGGAGGAATTTATTCCCCGCGAACGAGGACGCGACGCGACGCGACTATCCTAGCGACGAACGAACGCGAACGCGCGCGTCTGGTCCCGGGTCGCGTCGTCCCCAAAACCAGAGTACGAATCGAGAAGCGCCCCTCTCGCGTCGCGCGGGTCAGTCGCCGCCGCGAGAGGGCCGCGTCCCGAACCGGGACCGCCGAACCGCGCGCCGGAGAAGACCCGCGAACGAACGCGCGCATCGTCGCGCGAACGCTCGCGCGCGGATACGCCCCGCCCACTTGCACCACACGCCGCGGAGACCCGCGACGGAATCCGTCCGTAAGCGGATCGACCACCTCGCCGATCGATCGATCGATTTGATCCATCCCCTCGCGAGCCAGCTGTAGGGTGCGTTCTATACACTGGTTCCCATACGACCGCGTTGGCGATGTGAACGCCGATCCTTAAGGACTTTGCCCGGCGCGTCTCTCCGCCCATCCCTTGCGTTCAATCCCCGCTCTCGACGCCTTTCAACTCCACCTGACGCCTTTGAACACCACCCCGCCATCGCCTTGTATGGAACGACCCAGGATGCCGGCGACGTTCGCGACCGGGCAGGGCGAGGGCCCGAAGGACCCCGGTCCGTGGGCGGACAAGGTCTTGGAGGTCATGACGCTGCCGGTCCCGAAGAAGCCGTGCACGCTGTGCGAGTTTTGGTTCGCGGTCCCGTGCCTGACGGGCGTCGGGTCGTTCAAGTCCGTCCTCGCGAAGAAGGCGTCGTTCGGGGACAAGGCGGCGAGAGCGAAGCTGAACGACGAGCGCACGAGCGCGAGCCGGCTGTACAGCGGCGTCCCGCTGTGCTGCTTCTGCTCGCAGCTCGTCGTGCCGGACCCGGAGGAGGCGCGATCGCCGAAGAGCGCGAAGAAGGGCAAGAGGACGAGCGAACCCGAGGTGACGCCGAGCAAATTCCTCATGTCGTTCCTTAACAAAGACGTCGACGACTGACGACCGACGACTGACGACCGACGACCGACGACCGAGGACCGACGACCGACGACCGACCTACGTCGAGCTTAGCTCCGCGCGATCTCCGCGCTGTATGTATTGTAATCTAACCGGCACTAGCAGCCGCACGATGCGATGCGATCGATCGACGAGACGAAGCGATCCTGTACACCGCGATCGGGGATATGTCCGCGAACGCTTTGATTCAAGCCGCCGCGTCGTCCCCGTCGTTCCTCCCCGCGCCCCCGCCCCCACGCGCGGCGACAGCCTTGAGCGCGACGTAGTACTTGTCCTCGAAGTGGTCTCCGAGCGCGTCCGCGTTGACCAGCGACGTCAACGCGACGACCGCGTCCGAGGCGCTCTCCTCGTCCACGCCGAGGACGTTCCGCACGCCCATCGCCTCCGCGAGCTCGACGATCTTCGCGCCGACGGCGACGTCGGTCGTTCCGTTCTCCGCCGACGACGACGCTCGGACGTCGCCCGCGCCGACGAGCGCCTCGCCCGCGTTCGCCGGTATCCGCACGCCGTGGTCCACGTGCCTGTACCCCAGCAGCGCGGGAAGCGTCGGGACGAGGTCCGAGCCGTTGATGACGCGGATCGAGTCCGGGACGAGCGCGTTGAATCGCTTCACGAACGCGCGGTTCCCGACGCGCGGCGACCCGTAGTTGTACATCGTCGTCGTGCAGCGACGGCGCCTCGCGTTCACCGACTCCGCGAGCTCGTACGAGAACAACGTCGCGAGCGCGCCGCCCAAGCTGTGCCCGGTGACGAACACGTGCCACGCGGCGTCGTCGTCGTCGTCGTCGTCGTCGTAATCCGGCGACCGCGCGCGCATCACGTCGTCCACCGCGGCGAACACGCGCGCGCGGACGCTGTCGTACGCGGCGAGAAACCCGCCGTGGACCATCGGCTCCTCGGCGTCGATGTCGCCGCCGCTCTCGCCGCCGGTCAGCCGCTCCGGGTTGAACGACGACGGCGTCAAGTTCGCGTCCGTCAACACGTCCTTCGCGCTGCGCATCTCCGTCCCTCGGAACGACACGACGACCGTCTTGCTCTTGCTCGAGACGTTCCGCCACACCGCCGCCTGCGTGTCCGTGCGCGCGTTCTCGACGAACATTACCTTCTCGTACGCGCGCGGCGTCGCGTCCTCGCCGCGCACCCTGAGCGGGCGCGTCGTCGCGAGCGTCGCCCAGTCGCCGTCGGGTTTGATAGCCCACACGCCCGCCTCGCCGTCGCGTCGAGCGCGCGCGCGGCGCGCGGCGTCCACGCCGTCGGCGACGGCGCTGAGCCCCCCCGCGGCGAGCGCCGCCACCCCCGCCCCCGCGTCGTCGCCGCCGCCGATCGATCTCGACGCGCGCTTCAACCCGCGCGTCACGAGCGTCGCCGCGGGGGGCTTGAACGGGAGAAACTTCAACTTCATCGCGAGCTCGCCGCCGCCGCCGACGCCGCCGTCGCCCCCGGGCAGCGGCACCGTGATCTCTCTGCCGCCCGACGTCATCAGCCGCCGCGCGAGGTCGACGACATCCACCTCCCCACCTCTCCCCGTCACCGCGTCCAAGACCGCGGTCGCCGCGTCGTCCACGAGGTGGTCGATCGGCACGCGCGCGATCCCGATGAGGTCGTCCGCTTTGCCGAAATCCTCGTCCAACACGCGGCACGTCAGCGTCCGCGCGGACGGCGAGGCGTCGGCGTCGCGTCGGACGAACAGGCGCGCGACGGCGTCGTCGCGCTCACCGTTCCACCGCGGCGCGCGCGTCCGCGTCTTCGTCTTCGTCCGGTGCGACGACGCGCCGAGCGCGAGAACGACGTACGGGTCCGACGACGCGCCGACGAGGACGTCCGTCTTGGGCAGACCGTCGCATCGGACGACGGTCGCCTCGAGCACGCCCGCGAAGACCTCGCGGACGAAGTCGCTGAGGTAGGCGGTGCTGCCTCCGCGGACGTCGCGGTCGACGAGGCCGCCCTCCGGGGAGAGGTACGACTCGAACGCGAAGCCGGCGAGGAGGATGGACGTGTCGAGGTCGAAGTGCGGAGGCGTCGGGATCTGAGCGGTCGCCGCGGCGTCGTTCGACGACGACGACGACGACGACGACGACGACGACGCGCGCGGGACGACGGCGGCGACGGCGTTCCGAGATCTCGTCGTCCTCGCGCGTCCTCGCGAGGAGGAGGCCGACGCGGTCGCTCGCGCCGTCGCGAGCGACGCGGACGCCATGGCGCCGACGTTTGATGACACTTGGCACTCTCGGAGCGCGTTCACGTCTTGACTGAGAAGATAGGCCCGGCGTCGCGTCGCGTCGCCGCGCGCCGCACTTCGGAGGGCGCGCCGCTCGCCGCCCGCGCGTCGGCGAACGATCGCCATGGCCCTCGCGTCCCGCGCGCGCGGTATCCCCACCGCGTCGCGCGCGTCGCGCCGGCTCGGACGCGACGCCGCGACGACGCCGCGCGCGAGAACGACGACGCCGAGAAATTCGAGAAGATCGAATCGGAGATCGAGTCTCGTCGCCGTCCGCGCGCTCGCCGACGACGACGACCTCGAGCCAAAGCCTCGCGAGTACACCGGCGAACTCCGCGCGAACGCGCCGCTCGTCGCGGAGCGCGTCGTCGAGCTCCCCGCGATGCTCTTCCCCGCCGCGGAGGTGCTCCTCCCCGGGTCGGCGCAGACGCTCCACCTCTACGAAGCGCGCTTCCTCGCGCTCCTCGATCACGCGCGCAATCGCACCGGCGGCGCGTTCGCGCACGTGACGTTCGCGCCCGACGACGAGGACGACGTCGACGGCGGGACGCGGCTGTGCACGATCGCGACGCTGTGTCGGATCGAGGACGTGGAGAAGGACGAGACGAGCGGCGTCGGCGCGGTCGTCACCGTCATCGGCGAGAGTAGGCTCGAGCTCCGCGACGTCAGGTGCGTTCCTATTTTTCACCCACCGCTCGGTTTCAACACTTGATCGCGTCCCCTTTCAACTGACCGGTGAACTATTTTTGTATGGAATCGCCCTCAGAAACGACCCGGCGGATTCGACGCCGTACCTCGTCGGCGTCTTCGCGCCCGTGCCGGTGATGCAGCCCGACGGTAGCAGCGCGTATTTGCCGTCGGAGGAGGAGATGGACGAGGTGGCGGACCTCACGGAGTACATCGACACCGCGGTGGGCGACGTCGTCGCGCTCGCGGACGCGCTCTTGGAAGGCGAAGGCGCGTCCCAGTCAGTCCTCGTCGCACCGGTTTCCATACGACCGCGTTGGCGTTGTGAACTTCATTCCTTAAGGACTTTCTCTCCCGGCGTTCGTTCCTCTCCACCCACCCCTCGCTGCGCCGCGACGCCTCACGAATCCGCCTGACGCCTTTCGTTTATTCCACCCCCGCGTCGCCTCGAAGACGCCGCCGACGCGTGGAGCGACGTCGACGCCGCCGCCGCGAGCGTCCGGTGGGGACACGCGGAGGTCGGCAACCTTCGACGCGCGATGGCGTGGGTGGAAGCGCCGTACATCACGCTGGACGACATCCCGGACCTGAGGAACGGCGACGCGCCGTTAGCGATGGAAGACGCGGACTGGCTGCGGCCGATGCTCGACGAGACCGTGCGTCACTCCGAGCTGCAAGTCGCGGAGAGGCTGTCGTTCGCGTGCCTGCAGATCGCGCCCGCGTCCGGGGAGGCGGACCTCGTGAAGCTCGCCAACTGCCGCGCGATCGCGATGAGCACGTCGCACGGGCTGATGGACCGGCTGAAGCTCGGGCAGATCGTGTTGGACGAGCAGCGGAACGCGTTGCGGGCCAAGGTGGCGCTGAAGGGGGCGTTTTCTTCCTCCTCTTCCGGCGGCGGCGGGGGAGCGGAAGGGGACGGGGAAGGGGACGGCGGGGCGGGGGCCGCGTCGAGCGGCGCGCCGTAGCCGAGGAGCACGTGTTGTGTATAGATGCGCGCGAGTTGTCGTCGTCGTCGTCGTCGTCGTCGTCCACCGCGTCGAGTCGATGGCGGAGGAGACGTCGCGACCGCGCGTCCCGGACGCCTTCCCTCCCCGGCCCATACCCTTCCGTTGAAATCGCGGCCGCGGAAAATCGCCGCTCGACGAACTTCGTCCCGTCTGTTTCTTTTTGAAAAGGCGATCTCCCCCGTCGCGCCGCGACGTCGCGCGTCATAGATCTCGTGCGGGCTCTTAAAGACCGCGCGCGCGAAGATGAGCGCGATCAACGTGACGCAAGTCTCCGTCCTGGTGCGTCATCGTTCGCGCTCGCGCGTCGCGTTCGTCCCGCGCGCGTCCTCGCCCCGCGCGTCGTCGCGCGGTCGCCTCCTCGCCGTCCTCGCTTGGCGCTCAAATCTTGAAGACCGCGTCCTCCGATCGCCCCTTCTGACCGTCGTCCCCCCCCCGCGCCCTCCCCGCCGCGCTCGCGTCCGTCCATCCTCGCAGGACAACCCCGCGTTCTTCCTCGCGCCGCTGAAGTTCGAGATCCAGTACGAGTGCCTCCAGCCCCTGCAGAAAGACCTCGAGTGGAAGCTGACGTACGTGGGATCCGCAGAGTCGGACGCGCACGACCAGGAGCTCGACGTCGTCCTCGTCGGGCCCGTCGCGGTCGGGTCGTACAAGTTCGTGTTCCAGGCGGACCCGCCGGACCACAATAAGATTCCCGCGTCGGATCTCCTCGGCGTCACCGTGCTGCTGCTCACGTGCGCGTACGACGGCGTGGAGTTCATCAGGCGCGTTCTGATTCATTCACACTGGTCCCCATACGACCCCATCCGCGCGGTGAACGCCGTTCCTTAAGGACGTTTCTTCCCGTCGTTTCTCTCCGCCCAGGGTCCCTCGCTTTCAATCCCGACACACCTCGACGCCTTTCAACTCCGCTTCTGACGCCTTTCAACTCCACCCCACGTACGTCGCTTCGTACGGACCCTCGACCCTCAGAGTCGGGTACTACGTCAACAACGAGTACGCGGACGAGGAGCTGAAGGAGAACCCGCCGGAGAACCCGCACGGGCGGTTAGATCGCGTGGTTCGGAACATCCTGGAGGAGAAGCCCAGGGTGACGAGGTTCCCGTGCGAGTTCGACACGCCGTCGATACCGACGGCGGCGAGCATGGACGACTACGATGAGATGGAGAACATGAACCCGGGAGGCGCCAAGGCGGGAGAGTTCGGCGTCGGCGGCGAAGGCGCGACGACGACGCACTCGATGGACGCGCACGGCGGGTTCGCCGCGGGGCACGGTCTGAGCGAGTACGGGCACGCGCAGTGAGAGCGGCGAGCGATCGACGAGACGATTTCGTTTACTGTAGAGCGCGCGCGCGTCACCTCGCGATGACGCGCCGTCGCGTCGCGTTGTATTAAAAGACAACCAAAAGAATATTAGACAAAAAAAAGAATTGGTACAGTCAGGTATTACTTCGATCTCCTGCGTCGTCCGCTGAGCGCGTGCGCGTCGCTCCCGCGCCGGACGAAACACGGCAGCTTCGACAGCGGCGCGGCCATCTCCACGATCCACCTCCCCCCCGCGAACACCTCCCCGTGGATGTCCCCCGCCTCCACCCACTCCCCCGCGGTGAGGTACACGTTCCGCGTCGTCGCGCCCTTGGTCACCACCGGCGCGACGATGAGATCGTCGCCGATGGCGAACTGATCGTCGATACGATACGTCTGCGCGTCCGTCGGGTCTAGCCACCACATCGGGCGGCACATGGGGTTCAGCGTCGCGACCGCGTCGTGCGTCAGGTCGATGAGCGCCTCGACGACGTGCTCGCGGAGTTGGAGACACTCCGCGCACAACTCGGCGACGTCCGCGGAGACGTCCCACGGCGCGATGCTAAACTGCATCGCCGGCATGAGCGCGTTCGCTTGCGCCCATCGCACGAGCAGCTCGCGGTCGGGATGCCGTCCGAAGTACGCGTTCCCGCCGATCATGTCCGGGAGACAGAACGGGTAGCCCATGACCCCGGACGTGAGCAGCGTCGGGATGATGGAACGCAAGCCGTTGCCGACGCCCCACTCCGAGAAGCGATCGCCCATCCGCGTCAGGAGCGCTGTGCCCGTGGTGTGGTGCCCGGTTCGAACCTCCGCGAGGTCGAACTTCGCGGCGACGTTGTGCACCCACGCCCGCGTGTACTCCGACGGGTGCGTCAGCGGCAGGTGCGTCTCGAACTTTCGAGGGAGGAAGCACGGCTCGCCGGCGTCGAACTTGAAGCCGTCGACGCCGTGCCTGTCCTGGAGCGACCGCAACCGCGACACGAACCAGTCCACGGCGTCCGGGTTCGTGACGTCGAGCGCGACGACCGGCGGGGCGTTCCACCACTTGAAGAACCCGGGCTTTAGCCCGTTCACGACGTCGAACGGGTGGTGCGGGTGCGCGCTGTCGACGAAGTACCCGGCGGCGGATCCCTCGCGGTACGCCTCCGTGTCTTCTTCGATGAACGGCATCACCCACAGCGTGACCTTAAACCCCATCGCGTGGAGTTCATCCACCATGCGCTTCGGGTCGGGGAACTTCACCGGGTCGAAGTCGAGCTCGCCGTACCCGACCTGCCACTTGTCGTCGATCTCCATGACGCTGCCGGGGAGCTTGTTCTCTAAAATCTCGCGCGCGAACTCGAGCGTCTTTCTCTGATCCACGTGCTGCTTATACCTCGCCCACGTCGTCCATATCGGCGCTCGGATCACCTCCGCGGGCGGAGGACCGGAAGGTCGCGGCAGCGTCCCGAGCGCCGCCTCCGCGGCCGCTCTCACGTCGGACAGCGCGCACATGCCAACCTTCATGGACAGCCACGTCCCCTCCGGATTAAACGCGCAGTCGACGCCCTCTTCTTGCGACGCAAACGCCGACTCCCAGCCGATCATCGGGTGGTCCATCTGGAAGCACCCCTGGCCTTTGCAGAAGCCGCCTCTGGCCTGCAGTCGCAGCATGCCGTCGCCCTCGCGGTCGATGACGCTGAACGGCAGCGTCACCCTGGTCGCGTTTTGAATCCCGACGCCGAACGACCGGTTGGAGACGAGCTTATCCCACAGCGTGCTCTGCGGCGCGTTCAAGCCGACGTGCAAGTACGGCGTGTCCGGGTCGCACAGCACCGCGAGTCCGCCGCTCGTGACCCAGTGCGTTGAAACCAGCGTGTTGATCCCGTTCGGGCCGTTATCGAACGGGTAGTGCGGTCCCACCTCCCAGCACCCGAGATTCAGCGGCCAGTGCTGCTTCATGAGATGCCCCCCGCCGAACCAGTCGCCGGCGTCGGCGACGTCCACCTTGACCTCCGCCATCGCGTTCGACGCGTCCACGACCGCGTCCGGGTTCACCGCGAAGTCGATCACGAACCCGTCCGTGAGCGTCTCGTTCCACGGCGCGAGGTTCCGTCGCGCCTCCCTCGCCGTCGCCGCCGCGCTCTCCACCCGCAGCTTCGCCACCGATCCCCATCGAATCTCCGTCGCCACGACGAAGCCGTCGTCGTCGAGAACCCGCGCGCTGACGACGCCGCCGTGCGCGTGCGCCTCCGCGGGGAGGTGCACGTGCGACCGCGCGACGAGCTCGTTCGCCTCGCTCGCGCCGGTGGCGGGATTTCGCCGCCGAAGCGTGATTCTTCCATCCGTCGTCGCCTCCATCGTCGCGGCGCCTGCGTGGGTGAAGCGATCGGTCAGTCGAACGTCTCACCGGTCAAACGTTGAAAGGGAAGCGCGGGTGAAGAGTGACGACGGGAAAAGTCCTTAAGGATCGGCGTGCACCACGCGAACGGGGTCGTATGGGAAGCAGTCTCACCCGCGCGGAGGCTGACGACGTCGTGCGCCGCCGCGCCGGACATCCCTCGCTTCTTTCGAACGCCCATCGTGTTCGCGTTCGGCGCGTGGAGGTGCTCCGCGTCTCGGAGTTTCGGGTACAGCGGCGTGTCGTGCGGCGGCGGCTCGGCGAGTTCGAGATCGTTTTCCATCGCGGCGACGACGGTGTTGTTATCCGAGGCTGTCCGCCTCGGCGCTTCCGTCACCGCGCTCGAGCGCGCCTCGACGCCTCCGCGCGTCGACGCGCCGCCGCCGGAGGACGCGCCGGTCTTCTTGAACGCGGCGTCGGCGGACGCGCTCGAGGAGGACGCGGCGGCGGCGGTGTTCGCCGGCCTCGCCGCCTTGATCGTCTGCGGCGTCCGGGTGGGACGCTGCTGCATTGACCCGCGGTGTTCGGGCGAGAACCCGCGCGCGGGGAACGCGTCCGGCGAGCGCGCTCCCGCGGACGCGCGGGGCGCGCGATGCGTTCCTCTCCCTCGTCGCGTCGGTCGCGACGCGCGCGTCGTCCGCGGCGGCGTCGCTCGCGCGCACGCGGCGGCGGTCGCCATCGTGATTCCTAGTTACCGTGCGGCGCGTCCCTCCGCAGCACCGTCGCGTCGCGAATAAAGTGCGGACGCAGGGATCTCGCCGCGCGTTCGCGGCGTCGCGCGCGCGATTCGCTCCGTTCGCGCGCTCTTTTTCCGCGCGACCGTCCGCTCGGACGCTTCCAAAGACACCGCGCCGGTCGTGTCGCGTCTCCGCGTCGCGCGCGTCCTCGCAGTGGCGCGCCTCGAACGCGCGGATGAGGTTAAATGCTGACGTTGCGCACACACATCTCGATTCTCGTCCGCGAGGTCGAATTCCCCGAATCGACATCGTCCGCGTGTCTTGAACCTGTGTCTTGATCCCGCGCGGAGCGCGCGCGGATGACGCAGACTGGGCCGCGTACGAAAACATCGCGAAAAAAACGTACTACGCGAAAAAACTACCCCCCGGCCTGATGATTTCCCGGTCACTCGTTCGCGCCTCTCGCGCCATTCCTCCGACGGTTGGGCACTACTGAAATGGGCGTCTTCAGGCGCAAGCCTCCGCCGCCGACGCCCCCGCCCGGGGCGATGGAGGCCATCGCGCGCGCGGCGAACAAGCTGTCCGACGCCGCCGCGATGAAGTACCGCGCGCTCGCCGCGATCGGCGCCGCGCGGTACGTCGCGTTCGTGGCGCCGCTTCGCGAGCGGATCCGAACGATGACGCCCTCGGAGCACGATCTCGCGGTGCTCCTCGTCTTCGCTCTGATCGCGCTCGTCGCGCAGTTCGCGGTCGTGATGTGCGTCAAGATCGTCCTCGCGGTCTGGAGGAAGATTCGAAGGAAGAGCGACGACGTCTCGCCCGGCGCGCAGGCGGCGGGGATGGCGTGGATGAACGCCGCGGGCGTGACGCACCCGGACGACGTGTGCGTGGCCCCTTCCGCGTTCGTTCGTTCAAATTAAATTCCTCGCGCGTCCGTCGTCCTCGACGTCCGCGCCCCCGCGCGCCGCCCCTCGCGCGCTCGCCGCTGACCTCACCCCGCCGACGATCTCTCTCTCCCGCCGACTTCGACAGCGAGGAGGACACCGGACGGACGCCGCTGAAGACCCCGGGCGCGAAGGCGCGATCGCTCGCCCCGGAGACGCCCGGCGACTTTCTCGAGGACGACGACGTCAATCCGTTCTCGCCGCGCGCGCGCAAGTCGCCGAGCGACTACGACGGCATGACCGAGCTCGAGCTCCAGAAGCTGCGCGAGTTCCGCGGCGCGCTGAAGCGAGCGAGCGAAGAGAACCCGGAGCTGCTCGCGACGCCCGCGCTGCGTCGGTTCGTGAACGACGCGTGCTTGGCGCGGTATCTCCGCGCGAGGAACTGGAAGGTGAAGAAGGCGCTCAAGGTGCGCTCTATTCTTTCCATCTGTGACACACACTGGTTCCCGTGCGACCGCGTCGGCGCGGCGCACGCGGTTCCTTAAGGACATGGACATTTCCACCCGGCGTCGTCTCTCTCCGCCCGCCCCTCGCTCACGATCCCGACGCGCCTCGACGCCTTTCGACGCCGACTGACGCGCGGAACGCCCCCATCTACGTATAACAGATGCTGACCCATACGCTCAAGTGGCGCGCGCGGACGCGGCCGGACTCCATCACGTGGCGGGACGTCGCGAAGGAAGGAAGCACGGGGAAGCAGTACGTCCCGGGCGTGGACGTCAAGGGGCGGAACGTTCTCGTCATGCGTCCCGGGCGGGAGAACAGCAAGGAACACGCGGGGAACATTCGATTCTTGGTGTACATGCTCGAGAAAGCGACGTGGAGGGAGGACGCGCCGGAGCACCCGCCGCTCGGGCAGGCCGCGGACCACTCCTCGGAGAAGCTCGTCATCTTGATCGACTTCTCCGGGTGGACGCTCAGCACGGCGCCGCCGATGAAGACGTCGAAGGAGACGTTGTCCATCTTGCAAGATCACTTCCCCGAGCGTCTCGCCGTCGCCGTGTGCTACAACCCGCCGTGGATCTTCGCGGTGTTCTGGAAAGCCATCTCGCCGTTCATCGACCCGGTGACGTACCGCAAGATTCGGTTCGTGAACCCGAAGCGCGAGAAGGAGATGAAGCGGATGGGCGCGATGTTCGACATGAAGAACGTCATCGAGAGCGACATGGGAGGAGAGGTTGATCCGACGTTCGACCTCGCCAAGTTCGCCGCGGAGAACAACGCGCTGGACGCGCGGAGGAAGGAGGTCATGGCGCTGTGCGAGTGAGTGAAACGCGCACACACGGGGGGTACGACGCGGTTAAGCGATTAAGGTTAACGTAACGTAACGCTGATCTATTCCTGAGAGGTACACGTACTGTATGATAGACTATCTACTGTACACGTAGGGCTATCTATTGGATGACTAAATAAGGTTGCCGCGGTTTCGGTTTCGGCTGTCCGCTCGTCACGCGGGCCGGAGCGTCACCGGCCCCGTCCGCTTCGCTCTGTAGTCGCCGATCTTCCCCTTGTCCCTCGCGCGCCCGACGCCGCCGCCGTGCTGCTTGTACAGACTCACCGGGACGCACCGAAGGTCGAAGCTCACCCTCGTCTTCCCGGTGTCGTTGGGCCGCGTGAAGTGCCTCGCGTCGTGCCCGTTGAAACGCAGAAAACTCCCGTGCTTCATCTCCACCGGCGCGAAGTCGCCGACGTCCGGCGCGGACTCGATCCACAGCGTGTTGTTCCCCCACACGTCCGTGATCGGGACCCAGAAGTTGATCTCGCACGGCTGATGCCGCGGGTAGTCGCCGTCGCGGTGCATCAGAATCGTCGGCGCGCGCGACGGCATCGCGCACCGCAGCGTCGGCGGGCACTGATACACGACGCCCTCCGCGTCGCCGCACAGCGGCGCGATCTCGCGCTTCACGAACCGCTCGTACGTCTCCTCGAATTCGCGCCACGCGGAGTGCTCCGCGAGTCTCGCGAAGGCGCGGCGCTCCTCGCCCGGCCGAATCGCTAACCGCCATTCTCGCGGAAGCTTACGTCCCGCGTGTCGGTACGAGTGCGCGAGCTTGACGAACGTCGGCGGCGTCTCCGGGAGCTCCGTCAGCTCGTGCATCGCGTCGATCGCGCGGTGGTTCGCGGCGCCCCACGCCTCGGTGCGAAACAGCGCGGCGAATATCTCCGGCCATCGGTACGCGGAGACGTCGAACGACGGGCGCGCCTCGGCGCGACATCGCTCGAGCCACTCTGGGATCTCCGCCTCCGCGCGCGGCGGCGCGGACGGCGACGCCGGCGCGTCCGCGGCGTCGTCCGCGCGCTCGCGGCGCGTCCGCGGCGCGTCCGCGGCGTCGCCCGCGGCGTCGCGAGGCATCGAGGAGGGGGAGTCGCGGCGGCCGGGGCGTCGGCGGAAGTGGCGGGAGGACGAGGAGGATGCGTCGGATGGTCTCTCGGATCGATCGATCGATGATAGGTTTCTCATCACAGTACAACACCACAACGCCTACAGGCGCAACAGCTGTCGCGCCGCTCACTTGTTCACGATGTTCTTGATGAACAAGTCGGAACCGATCACGAGCGACAGCACCGCGGTGCAGATCGCGAGCGAGCCGCCGACGAGCGCGTACAGCGCGGTCTCCTCGTCGATGACGCCCGTGCCGTCGAACTCCGCGACCTGGAACAGAACGTCGTTCGCCATCGCGCTCCCGGCGGCGAGCGCGGACGCGGACGTCACGCCCGCGGCGAGCGTGAGGCCGCGCTTGACGTCCTTCGTGACGACCGCGGGCGCCTCGGGGGTGGCCCTGCGGACGCGACCGGGGGGATCGGAGGGCGAGGTCGGTCGTCGAGCGGCGGGGGGGGGGCGTCGAGGCATCGCGCGCGGCGGGTGGGTTTTCGCGACGAGGGCGGCTCGCGATTTCGATCGAACGATCGACGCGGATACGCACTTGGCGGCGACGGCGACGTTGCGACGCGCGCGCGCGGCTTTCGCGACGCGGGGCGCGAGGGCGATGCCGGTGGTGAACGTGACGGCGGACATTTTGCTGCGTGCGCGTGGGTATGACGCCGGGAGCGGCGCGTTCCGGGTTCGCGACGCGCGGCGTTAAACTTATCCATCGATCGTCTGACTCACGCGCGGGGCGATTCCGAAACGAAAAAAGTTCATCGGTCGGTTGAAATGGAACGCGATCAAATGTTGAAACTAAGGCGTGGGTGAAATTCGCGCGCCGCGCCGGCCGGGCCGAACGCGAGCGCGAGTCGCGAGTCGGCGACTCGACGAGCGATTGAATTGAATCACACCGCGAGGGCGCGCGCGCGCGCGCGATGAAGCCGCCCTTCGGCGTCAACGTGCCCACCGCGGAAGGGCAAGCCGAAGACGACGTCGAGGTCGTCCCCGCGCCGTCGATCGCGGAGGTGGACGCGTGCAGGGTCGCGCGTTGGCGCGCCGTCCCTTCTCTCGACGCGAGCGCGTTCCGCGCGACGACGATCCCTCTCCCCTCCGAGTTCGTGGACTACCTCCTCGAGGACGGGCTGTCGCTGCCGGCCGGCAGCGAGGCGATGCCCGCGCGCGTGGACCCGGACGTCGGCGAGCGGCTCGAGAGCGCGTTCTCGCGCAGCGACGAGGAGGAGGAGGAGGAGGAGGACCACGACGAGGCGCGCGCCCGCCGCGACGCGCGCGCGATCGCGGCGGGCGCGGACGAGTCGTTCGCCGCCCTCCGCGCCAAGTTCGGCGCGCGCGACGACGACGACGACGACGACGACGCGTCCTCCTCCTCCTCCGCCTCCGGCGACGACGCCGTCGCCCCCGCGCGTTCGTTCCCGACTCTCGAGCGCGTCGTCCGCGACGCCGTCGACGCGCTCGGCGGCGCCGTCGCGCCCAAGCTGTCGTGGTCCGCCCCGAAGGACGCGACGTGGATGGCGACGACGTCCACGACGCGGTGCCTGAACCCGGGGGAGGTGTTTCTGCTGCTGAAGGCGTCCGACGCGGTCGCGCACGACCTCTCGGACGCGTACTCGCCGTGCCGCGACTTCGACGCCGACGACGCCGCGGGGCTCAGAGCGTCGCAGCTCGCGTCGCTGCGCGCGGATGCGACGCTGACGCTGACGCGGTGGCGGGACCTCTCCCCGAGCGGCGAATTTCGGTGCTTCGTCTGGCGCGGCGACCTCGTCGGCGCGTGCCAGCGCGACGTGAGCAACTTTTACCCGTTCCTCCCGGCGCTCGCGGAGGAATACGCGGAGCTCCTCGCGACGCACTGGCAGGACGTCGTGTGCGGGCACTTCCCGTCGCGCGATTACGTTTTCGACGTGTACGTGACGTCCAACCGGCGGGTGAAGATCATAGACTTCAACCCGTGGGGCGGCGGCACGCTCCCTTTGCTGTTCGAATGGCACGAGTTACAGCGGCGAGGTAGCGGCGAGGGCGGGTTCACGGACGACCTGGAGGTTCGCGTCGTGACGAGCCAGGGGCACATACGACCCGGGCTGCGTCTGGGGGTGCCGTTCGACATGGTGGATCGATCGCCGAGCGGCGCCATCGCCGCGTTCGCGGAGCGGCAGCAGAGAGAGAGAGAGAGAGAGGCGGCGGCGGCGGCGGCGCGGGAGGAAGCCGCGGCCGCGGTCGAGACGGCGGCTCCGGGGGGGGGAGACGACGACGAATGAATGAACAGCGCGCGCCCTCGGTAGGTTCTAGCAGCGAGGGCGCGTCGCGGTCGGTAGCGAGTTGTTGTTACATCGCGCGCGATGGGATAGAGTCCGTCCAGAGACGGCGGACGAGGATAGGATCCCTCACGCGGCCGCGGCCTCCGGCGGCGGCCCCGGCGTCGCCTCCACGGTGAGCAGCGTCCCGAACAGCGACGGCGCGGACGACGTCACGATCAACCCCGCGTCTTCGCATATCTTCCGCACGTCCTGGTTCCACGCGCACCCTTTCGCGAGCGACTTCACCGGCGCGGCCGTGAGGTCTTGATACCATCCCAACGCGCCGGGCGCTCTGGAGTGCTCCACGAGCAGCGCGACGCCGTCGGGTCGAAGCACTCTTCGCACCTCGCGCATCGCTCGCGACGGGTCCTCGAACACGCACAGAGAGAACGTGTCCACGACGCAGTCGAACGAGGCGTCGTCGAACGGCAGGGCCTCGACGTCGGCGATCATGAAACGCACGGGCGGTGGGCGTATCGGTTTCGACGACGGCGGCACCGGGAGGATCGGGACGCCGTCGGACGCGGCGGCGACCGCCGCCGCCGCCGCGGCTTCGCTCGCCAGCCGCGCGTCCCACTCTTCGCTCGTCTCGACCCGAAACGCATCACCCAGGTTCGTCATCGCGCGTTCCACCGCGAGCTCGAGCATCCCGTCGCTGATGTCCACCGCGGTCAAGGTCGTGATGTTCGCGGCGTCGTACCGCGGGAGGTTCAGACCGGTTCCGACGCCGAGCTCGAGGACGTCCCCGGACGCCCTCGAGAGGATCGACGCGCGCATCGATTCGATCCCGAGGAAGTCGTCGCTCGCGAGCGCGCCGCCGTCTAAGACGTCGTACGTCGACGCGTACGAGTCGTACTTCTCCGCGATGTCCTCCACGCTCGCGCGCGTCGCCGCGGTGGGGGGTACGAGCGCGAGCGCGGCGAGGAGCGCGTCGCGACGCGACGGGCGACGAGGACGACGGGCATCATCGATCTCGTCGTCGCGACCGCGCGCGCGACGAGACGCCGCGTCGTCGCCGTCGAAGCCGCCGCCGCCGCCGCGCGAGGACGCCGTCGCGCGCGGGGCGGGTCCGCGTCGGCGGTGGCGAGACCCCGCGCGAGGGATCGCGCGCGCGCGCGTCGCCGCGGCGGACATCGCCCTCGGCGCGCCGAGAGAGTGATGAGGCGCGCGCGAGATTATAAACTCATGAGTCAAAAAAAATCAACAATAAGATCACGAGTCGCGGGTCGAGGTTAACAGCAGTCCGTCTCGACTGCTGTTAACCTCGACCCTCGCTCGCTACGCGCGCGGCGTCGCCGCGACTTCCTTCGTCGCGCACCGTTCACGCGGCGGCGGCGAACTTTTTGCACTCCTTCTCGACGTCCGCCCAAATCTCAACCATCCCCCTGTTCGCGTCGATAGCGCTCACCACCTTCGAGTAGTGCTTCATCACCGGCACGGTCTGCGAGTGGTACGCGCGCAGACGCGACACGAGCGCCTCCTCCGTGTCGTCGCCGCGCTGCATCAGCGGCTCGTTCGTCTCGTCGTCCAACATCGTCGCCGTCGACGGCGTTTGATCGCCTAGGCTCTTCGGCGGGTTAAACTCGACGTGGTACGACCTCCCGGAGTTCTTGTGCACCCACCTCCCGCAGACGCGCTCGGTGAGGACGCCGTCCGGGACCTCCAGGGAGATGACGCGGTTCACCTTCTCCTGGTTCTGATGGAGCATCTCGTCGAGCATCTCCGCCTGCTTCACCGTCCTCGGGAAGCCGTCTGATGGGGATGGATGGATGGACGGATGACGGATGGGTCGGTTGGTTGGTTTTCGCGGGGATCGCGGGGATCGCGGGGATCGCGGGGAGGAGGGGGCCCACGAGGGCGTCGGGATCGGCGGCGCGCGGCGCGGAGGGAGAGAAATGGGATCGCCGGCGCGTCCGGGTCCGCGCGCGCGATCGATGTCGATCGTCGCACGGGGCGGGCGGCCCCCTTCGATCTGATCCGATCGGGGGTTGTCCGAACAGAACCTAAACGCGACGACGGCGAGCTCGACGCACCGAGGATGAAGCCGTTCTCGCAGTCGGCGTCCTTGATCCTCTCCTCGATGATGTCGACGACGATGTCGTCCGTCACGAGCGCGCCGGAGTCCATCGCGTCCTTCGCGAGCTTCCCCACCCTCGTCCCGGCCGCGACCGCGGCGCGAAGCATGTCCCCGGTGCTGAGCTGCGGCGTCTTCAGCAGGTTTACCATCTTCGGCGCGTGCGTGCCCTTCCCCGCCCCGGGAGGGCCGAAGAGGATGATGATCGTCCGCTTCTGGTCCGCCGCGGCGGTGTCCGCGGGTTGGGAGAGGCACGGGCCCATTTTTATGAACTGGAGTGGGGGGACGCGCGTCGATCGGTGTGGCGGCCGTCGCTCGCTCCGTCGCGGACCCGAACACTCGATCGCCGGTCGTACACGCGTCCGCCAGTCACCCGTCCGATCGAGTTAAAAATGTTGATCGCGTCAGTTGAAAGGGGACGCGATCAAATGTTGAAACCGAGGGACGGGTGAAAAACGTTCATCGTTCATCACCTGCCGACCACCACTTGCCGATCAGTCAATCGCTCGTCGCGCGCGGACGCCGCGCGCGACGGTCCCGCGTCTTCCCCGGCGCCGTCGCGGCGATGTCGATCTACATCGGTACGCGTCCCTCCACGCTCGCGCGCGCGTCGTCGTCGTCGTCGTCGTCGTCGTCGTCGTCGTCGTCGTCGTCGTCGCGCGCGTCTTCTCTCTCGCGTCGTCGTCGCGCCTCGGACCTCGCGCGCGTCGCGTCGATCGATGTCAACTCGCGACGCGCGCGCGCCCACGCGCGGCCGACCGACCAACCCTGAGATCCCGTCCCGTCCCCGCCGCGCGCGCCGCAGGCAACCTCCCGCCGTTCGTCGAGCACTCCCTCCTCGTGGACATCTTCAAGCCGTTCGGGGACTCGTGCGAGGTGCGCGCGTGCGAGGGCTTCGCGTTCGCGGAGTACGAGACGCAGCGAGAGGCGGACGACGCCATGGCGACGCTGACGCCGCAGCTCGCGAAGAACGGCGGCGCGCTCGGAGGCGTGAAGATGACGCTCGCGTGGGGGAAGCGAAGCATCATCGCGAAGTACGAGGAAGAGGTCGCGGAGCGGAAGCGAAAGGAGGCGGCGCGAAGGGAACGGAAGGAGAGGAGGAAGCGGCGACGGAGCGGCGGGGGCGGGAGCCGCGAGCGGCGGCGGACACGGCGGCGGAGTCGGAGTCGAAGTCGGCGCCGCAGCCGCAGCCGCAGCCGGAGCCGCACTCGGAGCCGGAGCCGCGGCCGGAGCCGGAGCCGCAGCCGCGGCCGGAGCCGGAGCCGCAGCCGCGGCGGGGAGCGCGACGGGGGGAAGGACGGCGACGGCGACGGCGGCGGCGACGGCGGCGGCGGAAGGCGTCGGAGTCGCAGCCGGAGCGAGTCGCGGTCGCGCGGAAGGAGCCGACGGAAACGGAAGTCGAAGCGTCGTCGCGAGAAGCGTCGAAAGCGTCGTCGTCGTCGGCGTTCGCGGTCGTCGTCGTCGTCGTCGTCGTCGAGCGGATCCTCGGAGTCGTCGTCGAGCGGATCCTCGGAGTCGTCTTCGCGGCGGCGGAGGAAGAAGAGACGGCGGCGGCGGTCGAGGTCGCGGTCGCGCGAACGGAAGCGCGAGAAGAGCGACGAGAAGGCGCGGTCGCGGTCGCGGTCGCGGTCGCGCGAACGGAAGCGCGAGAAGAGCGACGAGAAGGCGGAGGACGCGGCGGCGGCGAGACCAGACGAGTGAAAAAATCTAAGAGTCCGCCCGCGCCCGCCCGCGACGATGCAAGTTCACGGTCCACGAACGATGATTCTCGCACTCGTCGTCGGCGCGCGCCGCTGGCTCCGTCCCCCCGCGTCGAGGGCCATGGAGCTCCCGTACACGATATTCGCGCTCGGCGACGCGCACTTGCACCGGATACAGACGAGCGAGGGCAAGGTCCGTCGCCGCTCGCGCGTCGCGCTCGTCCTCCGCTCCCCGCTCGCGCGTCGCGCCCGATTTGGTCGTTCCGTCCGTCCGGAGCGAATCCTGACGCGCGCCGTCCGTCCCCTCCCCCTCGCGCCCCGCCGCGCGCAGATGTTCATCATGTCCGAGCTCGCGTCGCAGCTGTTCGACGAGGGCCCGATCAAGTTCGCGGCGGTGCGTCGTCGTCGTCCTCGTCCTCCTTTTCGTCCCCGTCCTCGTCCTCGCGCGCCGTCGCGTCGCCTAAAACGAGAAGAAGCCTCGCGAGCGAGCGAGCGATCGCGCGTCTCCCCCCTCCCTCACCCCACTCCCTCCCCTCCCCTCTCTCTCTCTCTCTCCACGCGCGCAGGACCTCCGCGCGGGCCGCTACGTCCGCACGCACACCGTCGACCCCGACGTCCTGCACACCTGCGCCGTCCTCGGCGCCCCCGACGAGCACCACGGCGGCGGCAAAGACGGCGTCACGCTCCTCCCGGCCGCATCCGTCGAGGAGATCCTCGTCGACCGCCGCCGACGCGACCTCGTGCAGCCGTTCAAGCTCATGATGCTCAAGATCGCGTCGCAGGAGGCGACGAAGCTCCTCGCGAGCGGCGACGAGCTCGACCTCGAGGCGGCGCTGCCCGTCGCGTTGGACGCGGTGGAGAGAGCGCAGGAAATCTTCAAGCCGAGCCCCGCGATCGAGCGCTTCCCGCACTACCTCCTCGCCGCGCGCGCTAACCTCGCGCTGCGCCGCGCGCGCGAGTGCGAGGACTTCCTCTCGCTCGCGTCGTGGCTCGTGTTGAAGCGCCCCGACGACGCGACGCACGAGATGCGCGGCGACTTGGCGCGGATGTTCGGGCAGCTGCGCAGCGCGCAGGGAGAGGGCGAGGAGGCGTTGAGGCGGTTCGCAGAAGACGTCTACTGGCGCGCGGAGGCGCACGGCCCGGAGGACCCGCGGACGACGAGCGGGTACTACGCGCTGTCGCGGCAGTTCGCGAAGAACGGCGACGACGCGCGCGCGCTGTCGTGCACGACGCCGATCGTGGACGCGTGGTACGACGCGTGCGTCTCAGGCGCGTTCTTCTTCGCACTGGTTCCCATACGAGCGCGTCGGCGTGGTGAACGCCGATCCTTAAGGACTTTTGCCGGCGTTTCTCTCCGCCCAGGGTCCCTCGCTTTCAATCCCGACACACCTCGACGCCTTTCAACTCCGCTTCTGACGCCTTTCAACTCCACCCCGACGTTCGCTCGTATGGAACGCACCTCAGCGGTGCTCGGCGCGAAACTCTCGGAGGCGCTTCGCGTCGTGCGCACTCCGCCCGCGAAGACGCTGCCGTTTCACCGCGCGGGTTTGCTCGAGATGATCGATATGCTCGAGGACGTGCTGGAGACGCGGCGCGCGGCGCTCGGGGACAGGGATCCGAGCTTGGGTGACTGCCGCGTCGCCGCCGGGTTGGCGTTGGTGAAGGCTGGGGGCGCGGAGGCGACGGCGAGGGCGCGGCTGCACTTTGAGGAGGCGCGCGTCGAGTACGACGAGGGCGAGCGCGAGCGGCTGGGGATACTGCGGAGGGCGGTCGAGCTCGTGGGCGAGTACCGGTCGCCGACGAAGTGATGAAGCGCGAAGACGTTACGTAGCGGGGGTCGTCGTCCGTCGTAGGAATATAGAGAAGATACGAGTAGAAGAACGAACGCTCTCGCTCTCGTCATCCTCTGAGTTCTTCGTCCTCGTCTCCTCGTCCCAGCGCGCGCTGCGCGCGCGATAAGACGGCGTCTCGCGTCGCGTCGTACGGCGCGTCCTTCGACGGGATCTCCAGCACCGCGGGGACGGTCGCGCCGGACGCGGCGCGCGCGTCGAGGAGCGGTCGCACGCGGTCGGCGACGTGCTGCGAGACGAGCACCACGGCGACGTCGCCACGCGCGACGAGCTCGTTAAACTTCTCTCGTATCGCCGCCTCGGTGGTGTCGTCGTCCACGACGAGGAAGTTCCGCCGCCGCCGCTCGTCGACGTCGCCGACGCCGGCGAGGACGAACCCGGTCACCGTGTCCTCGTCGCCGATGACGCCGACGAGCGCGCCGTCCGCTTCGAGCGTCATCGCGAGTGCGCGGCGTGGTGTGGCCGAGGCGACGGCGACTTTTCGTCGTGCCAACCGAGAAAAGTGCCAACTTCGAACTGGTTCACTGGGACGCGGACGCGGCGCGGCTGGGACAGGACGTCAACATCAGTTCCGCGCGCGCGCGATCTCTCCGTGAAGCCACGCGCGCCGGGTGGGTGCGATGACGCGCGAGAGCCTCGAGAACGTCTCGAGCCTCTCCCGGGCGCAGCTCGAGACCGTCGCGGAGATCGTCCTCGCCGGCGGCGTCTTCTCCATGCTCGGCTGCGTCGTCATCATCGCGGTGTTCCTTCACGCGTCGCACCTTCGAACGTCGTTCGCGTTCCAGCTCGTCTTCGGGCTCTCCATCGCGGAGTTCGGGAACGCGACGTGGCCGATGTTCTTCATGCCCGACGGGGACACCGCGGCGTGCACGACGCAGGCGCTCACGCTGCAGTTCTTCTCCTTCGCGTCCGTCCTGTGGACGTGCGCCATCGCGTACACGCTCAGCAACGCGCGAAAGAACGGAGGCGCGGTGGGCGCGTCGCTCATGATGTCATCAGAACAAAGAACAAACAGACCCTTTGACGTGAGGCGGTTCCACGCCGTGATATGGAGCGTCTCCGGCGCGCTCGCGACCGTGCCGTGGAGCGCGGGGGTCCTGGGTCCAGCCGGGGCGTGGTGCTGGATCGACGCGCGACGCGGAAGAACCGCGCAGGCGTTTCGACTGATGTGCTTCTACGTCCCGGTGTGGTGCGTCATAGCGTACGAGGTGCGCGTGTACGCGGCGCTGTACAAGCAGCTCAGCGCGATGACGCGGCTCGCGAGCGCGACGGCGACGATGCGCGAGGACGCGCGACGCGAGGCGGCGGCGCGAGGCGGAGGCGGCGATATGGAAGACAGCGGAAGCGACGACGACGACGACGAGGAAACCGGCGGCCCGCGCGGCGACGACGACGCCGCCACCGCGGCGACGCTCCGGAGGCTCCTCCGCCGCCTCGGCGCGTACCCGGTGATCCTAATATGCGCGTGGTTCTTTCCGACGTTGAACCGAGTCGTGAACATGTTCAAAGGCGGGGACACGACCGGGGACGTATACGCGCTGTATGTGTTGCAGGCGATTGGGATGAGCACGCAGGGCGTCGGGAACGTGATCGCGTACGGCATGTCCGCCGCGGTGAGGAAGCACGTCGCGGAGACGATGGCGAGGGCGTGCGGCGGCGGGTTAGGGTCCGGAGGGGACGCGCGCGCGGGGTTGAAGAGCGTGCGGAGGGAGCTGGAGCTCGGGAACCGCGGGAGCGGCGGCGGCGGCGGCGGGAGCGGCGGGAGCGGGGGGGGGGGAGACGGGGGGGCGGAGAGAGTCGCGAGTCCGGGACGCGAGGAGGGAGGGAAGGAGATCCTCCTGGAGATCGACCTGTCCGAGGAGTGACGCGCGGGCGGCGACGCGACGCGCTCGCGGTGTAGTCACGGCGTGATCGCATCTTTAGTAGTTGTACGTTCGTCGTCGATTTCGTCGTCGTCGATTTCGTCGTCGTCGTCGTCGTCGTTCCGCCACGCGGGCGCGTTCACTCCTGCGATTCGATCCCGAGCCACGCGAGGACGCTCCGCCGCGGCGTCGCCTTCTCACCGTTCCCGCCAGCGGCCGCCGGGGTATCGAACGACGGCCTCAGTCGCCGCCCCTCGAGCCGCGACGGGCCGCTGCCGAACGGCTTCTGACCCGCCCTCAACGCCGCGGGAGTCTTCTTCACCGAGGATCGGATTCCCAGCGTCTCGAACACGTTGGCGTAGAGAGGCATCTCCTCCTCGTCGTCGTCTTCCTCGTCGTCCGCCGCCGCGACGTCATCGAACGCGGCCATGTCCGCGTCTCGCGTCGTCGCCGCCGCCGTCCGCGCGGTCAACGTGATCGCGGCTTCTTTCAACGCCCTGTCGGACTCCTCCGATTCCTCCAGCTCCCTCGTCGCCTCCATGACCACGGCGGCGGCAGCCTCGCGCGCGCACTCCGCCGCCTGCGCCGCCTCGACGCGCGCTTTCAACGCGCTGCCCATGGGCGAGTCGAGCATCCTCAGCGTCGCCGCCGCGGCCAGTTCGAGGGGGGATTGCGGCGGCTCGTACGGCACGCTCTTCGCCGGCGCCGTCGCCTTCCTTCGTCGTCTCAGCCCGCCGCGCGCCGCGTCGTCGTCGACGTCGTCTGCGTCGACGAGCGCCGCGATCCCGCGCGGCGGCGCGCTCCTCGCCCCCGCGGGCGGCGTCTCCCGGGGCGTCTCCCGCGGCCTCTTTTTTCTCTCCGTGGAAAATCGCGCCTCGACCAACGCCGCGGCGAGCGGGTTCGGCGGAAGTGTCTGCACGGCGACGTCGCCGTCGTCGTCGTCGCCGCCGTCGTCCGTCGTCGTCGTCGCCGCCGCCGCCGCCACAGATTCTCTCGGCCGTCGTCTCTTCCTCTCCGTGGAGAACCGCGCCTCGACGATCGCCGCCGCGAGCGGGTTCGGCGGCAACGTCTGATCGATCGACGATCTTAACGTTTGC